AAAAAAAAAAAAAAAAAAGAGGACAGAAGGGAAGGTTTGAAATTTTTATTAACTTGATTGGCATTGGGGAGGTTGATACAGGAATTATGCAAAATATACATATTCACACCATTTAAAACATTTATAAAGCCACATATCAGCAAGTACAAAAGGTCATATAATCTGAATATATCGCTGTTCTTTTTTTTAAAAAATGCTATTCAAGTAATTATCTGTGTGGGTCACCATAACAGAAAGGTTAAATCAAGACTAACAGTTCTACTTTAGAACACATCGTTCAGAAATTGGCCACACAGAAGTGCCTGTTACTGCTTACAGTGTTATTTTTACTGCCACAAGGGGGAAAAAACTGCTTCTTCATACTTTATAATAGATGCCTGTAAGATATTTCCCAGGCATCCAAACATGCTGCATGCTTAACACTGCCCCACTAAAATGAATCTTGTATTCCCTTGCTTGCTATGGCCTCCATTTTAATGTACAGTCATTGCTTAACTGTTCTGCCATGATCTCTATGAGATGCTATCTAAGGGTGACTGTCTTGAGGTAAACATGTTATGTTTCAGGACTTTGCTTATCTCTTGGAGAGTATTTGTAAGCAATACCGATGTATTTGTCAGCCTTAGGATACGTGTCTAGTAAGTTCACACTGTACAAAAATTAGCACCAGTAACTGCTTTAGTTTAGTAGAGCTTGATGCTCTTGCTGCCACATCTCATATCTCTTTCAAAGGTCAGACACACTATTTCAGCTCAGTTCTCTGTCTTGGGTTAATTTAATTGTGGGCTATTTAAGTAGAATTACATGACAGCATTCAGCTAGTTATTCAGCTGTTAAGAAGGAGTTTTTGTACATATACCTCAAAAGGATGATCCTCTGCCTATAACATTTCTTCCATAACAGTTTCTGTGACTCTAGATGAATAACGTGATCTCTTGAGTTGAAAGAGTTTAACCAGCTTCCAGGTCTCTTTTTCATTGATTTAACTTCACTTATGACAGGGAGATTGTTCTGACACAACCGACTGTTTAATTGTGAAGTAGCCTTAAGATGTTGAATTTAGTAAAATTTATGAAGTACCTGACAGATCAAGTTTTGCTAGTAATGCTACCTTTTGTAAGGTCTGTGAATGGTATATATAGATTTCGAAACTGTTTAAATAAAATTGTAATCATCCTAACACCTAACAGCTATTGAAAACATGCCAAATAGCCAAATATGCTTAAATGGTTTACAGTCATTATCTCATTTAATCCTCAGAATAATTCTGTGAAGTGTGATTTATTACTTCCTTTTTTTTTTTTTAATTCAAGTTTCAGTTTTGCAATCCATTTTCTTACTGAATAGGAAAACAGAATTAGAGAAGTTAAGTAGCTTGCCAAAGGTCATGCAGCTGGTAAGTGGTAGATACCAGCTATAAACTGGAGTTTGCTTGACCTTAGGATCTCTTCACCATTAATACTGGCTCTCTTCTTTTTCTATAAATGGAAGAATCTTGGCCAGAATTTTACTAGCAGCAGAGATGGTGGCTCACTGTGATGATGATGGTCAGTTATGTTACCTTTATTCAAGATAGTTGTGATGGTGGCATGTTTTAACATTTTTTTTCCAAGGCTTTATAAATGAAGAATAAGTCAGTACAAGTATCTAAATAATATCTCAGTTTTAGCTTATTAAAGAAAGAAATAGGAGTTCTCTATAAGATTTGTTTTATTTCTTAAAACTCTTCTTGACTATACAATGTTGACTACTACAAAAAGCAACATAAGGATCCCACACTGTCATACCTGGGCAAATACTTCTTGTTTTAGAAACTTCATCCTGGCCGGGCACAGTGGCTCACGCCTGTAATCCCAGCAGTTTGGGAGGCCGAGGCAGGAGGATCGCTTGAGGCCAGGAGTTGGACAGCCTGGACAACATAGCAAGACCCCATCTCTACAAAAAATTTTAAAGTTAGCCAGGTGTGGTGGTGCACGCCTGTAGTCCTACCTATTCTTGAAAGTTAGTATATACTCCACAGATACTAGTTTACATAGCCTAGGGTCCTGTTCTTGACATTCCGCTAATGAATCCCTGTTCCTTGGAGCTGCATATCCTTGATGTAGGCTTCTAGAAGGAACCTACTTCCTTGGGGGATGTAAAGCTGCAAGGAGGTATAGTTAGTAGTATGATTATTATATAAGTAAACTCTTGAGAAGTTGAAAGTGTTAGCTAAATATTTCTTGCTTCAGGTACCTTTTTAATTTTGGTATTATTCTCAATGAAATAGTCTTTTTTTTTTTTTTTTTTTTTTTTGAGACAGAGTCTCACTCTTTTGTCCAGGCCAGAGTGCCCTGGGATCAGCCTAGCTCACAGCAACCTCAAACTCCTAGGCTCAAACAATCCTACTGCCTCAGCCTCCCGAGTAGCTGGGACTACAGGCATCCGCCACCATGCCCAGCTAATTTTTTCTACATATTTTTAGTTGTCCAGCTAATTTCTTTCTATTTAAAGTAGAGACGGGGTCTCGCTCTTGCTCAGGCTGGTCTTGAACTCCTGAGCTCGAACGATCCGCCCGCCTCGGCCTCCCAGAGTGCTAGGATTACAGGCATGAGCCACCATGCCCGGCCTGTTGTTGTTGAGACAGAGTCTTACTCTCCTGCCCTGGGTAGAATGTAGTGGCATCATCATAGGTCACTGCAACCTCCAGCTCCTAGGCTCTAAGCAATCCTCTTGCCTCAGCCCTCCAGGTAGCTGGGACTACGGGTGTGAGGGTATGAGCTGCAACGCCCAGCTGTTTTTTTTGTTTTTTTCTTTCTCTTCTTTCTCTTTGGTAGAGATGAGGTCTCACTCTTGCTCAGGCCAGTCTTGAACTCCTGAGCTCAAGCAATCCTCCTGCCTCAGCCTTCCAGAGTGCTAGGATTACAGGCATGAGCCACCGAGCCTGGCCTGTGGCCAGCAAAATCTTAACCATGGGAAATTCTACAGAACAAATGATCCTGTTTTCCACAAATATATTGCAAAGTTAAAAAAGGAGAGCAGAAGAAGGAATTTAAATTGATTAAAAGAGACTTCAGGACTAGGCATGATGACTCACATCTATAATCCTAGCTACTTGGGAGGCTGAGGTAGGAGGATTGCTTGAGGCCAGCAGTTCCATACCAGCCTGGGCAACAGAACAAGACCGTGTCTCTAAAAAGCTTTTAAAAATTTGGCTGGCCGCAGTGGCTCATGCCTGTAATCCTAGCATTCTGGGAGGCTGAGGCTGGAGGATTGCTTGAGGTCAGGAGTTCAAGACCAGCCTGAGTAAGATCTAGACCCTGACTCTACAGAAAATAGAAAAAATTAGCTGGGCTTAGTGGCATGCACCTGTAGTCCCAGCTACTTGGGAAGCTGAGGCTGGGAGTTAGAGGTTGCAGTGAGCTATGATCATGCCTCTCCGTACTGCAGGCCTGGGTGACAGAGTGAAACCCTGTCTCTAAAACAAAACCAAACATAGTGTCTTAGCATATTCATTGAGTGCAAAGTCATAGTATAGTGAGAAAGATCACGATTAAACATCAGGGTTCAAATCTGACTTTGGCATTTAACTAAATATTTTGAACCTCAGTTCACTGATCTTTAAAATAGTGGTCATTATATACTTTGTAGAATAGTAAGCATTGGGAAAAATGTTTTAATGTACATGAGATAGTATTATAAATCACTTAGTACAGTGTGTAGGTCCTAATAGTTAATTCAGTTAAATGGTTATTATTGTTCTGTACTTTCAAACATACTCAATATCTAATAGCCCAGCATATAACCATTAACCCAAATAACTCAATCCGTGAAGGACAGACAGTATCCCTGCCTAATTCTTCTTCACTGATAATTCCTTCTTTTTCTCTCCATCTTCCTCTTCTCCCATCAGTTGATTTATGAAGACTGTATGGATCTGATCGCAAAGCTACCTTGTGTTGCAGCAAAGATCTACCGGAATCTCTACCGGGAGGGCACCAGTATTGGGGCCATTGACTCTAAGCTGGACTGGTCCCACAATTTCACCAACATGTTAGGCTATACTGATGCACAGTTCACTGAGCTCATGCGCCTGTACCTCACTATCCACAGGTGAGCTAGACCTAGCAACCAACCATGGCCACCAGGTGCCATGATTGATGGGAATTTTTTTTAAGGCTCCTTTATGTTTTCATCTTCTCGGAACAGATGGTAGGCACCAAGGAGATGGAAATGTGGCATAAGGGGTGATATAAGGCAAGAAAGGGGTCTAGTAAGGAAGGTCAAGAGGCCTAGGGAAATTACCCTAACCGTGCTAAGAACAAGATGGTACTTCTAGTTGGGAAAAGGTACTAGCTGCTCCCATTATGTGGTCCTTCAGCTTTCTAGGAGCTCCCTCTTCTGGTCATTGCTACTAAAGCTGGGGTGGGAGTCAGGGATTTGGGCACACAAGCATCATTAACCAGTAACCTCTCCAGCTCTGTGGATTAGTGAACAAAAACTGGTAATGAGATTAAGATGTTGGAGGGAGAGGAGAGAACAAAAAAAAAAGAGAGAGATTATGATGTCTTTTACAAGAGTTTAGGTATAACTGACTGGCTATAGGCTGATATGAATCCATAGTGAGGCTAGTATGTGACAAATAAGAGAAAAGCAAGATCTGTGTTTCCATATCTGCCCTTTTCTTTCTCTCCTTGGCTCTCTCTTACTTCCCCACAGTGACCATGAGGGCGGCAATGTAAGTGCCCATACCAGCCACTTGGTGGGCAGTGCCCTTTCAGACCCTTACCTGTGCTTTGCAGCAGCCATGAACGGGCTGGCGGGGCCTCTACATGGACTGGCAAATCAGGTAAGACTATTCTTTTTCTTTTCCTGCCACATGTTTTTCTTACCCCCATGCTTTGTTCCTGATCTTGGCATTCTCTCCTGGTATATGCATTGATACTCCTTTTTTCCCCAAACTTTAACCATAGGAAGTGCTTGTTTGGCTAACACAGCTACAGAAGGAAGTTGGCAACGAGGTATCAGATGAGAAGTTACGAGACTACATCTGGAACACACTCAACTCAGGACGGGTAAGTAGAGATGCTTAGCAACCAGGAAAGAAGGCAAGACCCAAGTTCTGCAATTTGGAAGAATTAAAGAAAGGAATGAGAGAGGTCCCCAAATTAGAGAAAGAGATTTTCCTCTCCATTTGTCTACCCTGAAGAATTTAGAAAAGAATTTTTAGCTGGGTGCGTGCAATGGCATATGCCTGAAGTCCCACCTGCTCAGGAGGCTGAGGCAGGAGGATTCCTCAAGGCCAGGAGTTCTGAGGCTACAGTGCACTATGATTGTGCCCGTGAATAACCACTGTACTCCAGCCTGGGCAACATGGCACCTTGTCTCTAAAAAAAATAAATAAATAAAAGAATTTCTACCTGAGAATAGCAGCTGTCTTTTTACCCTCACTCTTTACAGGTTGTTCCAGGCTATGGTCATGCAGTACTAAGGAAGACTGATCCACGATATACCTGTCAGCGAGAGTTTGCTCTGAAACATCTGCCTAATGACCCCATGTTTAAGCTGGTTGCTCAACTATACAAGATTGTGCCCAATATCCTCTTGGAACAGGGCAAGGCCAAGAATCCTTGGCCCAATGTAGATGCTCACAGTGGGGTGCTGCTCCAGGTAAGTCTTCCTTTCCCTGCTTTCCCTCTAATTTGTACCAAACCCTGTTCTCAGCCATGCACAAAATCAACTCTCTAGTCAGAGCAAGAACTCTTAAACTACCTCTCTCATAGAGCCTTTTAATAAAATTGGCTATGATGTGTGGAGGGAGGGGTTGGGGTTGCTGTTGCTCTTTTTTCAGAATCCTGATTGCTATACTTTTCCCAGTGTTGTTTCTATTTAAGGTTGACTGGGCTAAGTCCCTGGAGAGAAAGAGAAACTAGAGCCTCTAAAGGTTTCCATCACTCTGGACTTGTACATGCCACTGTCTCTGAGCCTTAAACAAAGCCTTTTTCTCTTCTACTTTACAGTACTATGGCATGACGGAGATGAATTACTACACGGTCCTGTTCGGGGTGTCCCGGGCACTGGGTGTACTGGCACAGCTCATCTGGAGCCGAGCCCTAGGCTTCCCTCTAGAGAGGCCCAAGTCCATGAGCACGGATGGTCTGATGAAGTTTGTGGACTCAAAGTCAGGGTAAAACTGGAGACTGGAAGGAAACTAACAATCAGAAAGTGAGGAAGCTTAAAAATATATATATACACCTTTGTTTCAGGGGGCCTTTAAAGACTTAAGATTAAATTGTATCTGAGGCACTGATAATATGTTTGAGGTTAAAATATAAATTATGACTTTAAAAAGATGAAAAGTGACCCCTTCTTCCCTAACCAGCTCCCTTCCCCTGCCTGGTATGAGTTGCCCATCAACTGTAGGATGACCAGGACTAATGCATGTAGTATGGGTTAGATTTGGTTCCCTGCCATCTCGAGAGTGAGAATCTGGCTCTTCTTTCTCTGGGTCAAAGCTGGTTGCAGAGAATCTTCAGTTGCTTCAGAGCTTTTGCTTCTATTCTGCCAAGCCCTCAATTAGCCAGCAAACCAGGATTCTGCCCCTTCTGTTTACATAGGAATCATGTTGGATTGCCAGCTGTACCAAGCTCTTTGGCCCTATCCCATGCACACAGATGTCTCCTAGAAGAACCTGTTGGTTAGCTGGACATGCTTTGGCAATTTTTTTATGCTACCAGGTGACCATAAAAGCATGGCATTTGTTGTTACTGACACCCAGTGTGTGATTTTCACTTTTTAAAATTATCTTGTTAAAATTAAGGTCTGGGAGTGTTCTGTTTCCCATTACTTTAAAATTCACGTCCTTCCAGACTTTCTATACCTGCTGCACCTCAAGATGAGGATGTTCTGGACCTTTCCTTCTTGGTCCCTAATAGAGACCTCTTTGAACAGATCTGTCTGATCTGTGGTCTTTCCCAGTCATTGGGTTTTATCAGTGCTTAATGTGAACTAAGCTTTTTACTTCCACAGAATATAAGCCACTACCTCCTCTGACCACCCTCCAGCCCTGCTTTAATATGCTGTGGGACAAGGACTTAGGAATGACCAGCATGATATCTTCAGAGTCTGGTCCCAGAGTTACTAGCACCTCTTTTTGAATAGGGAAATCATTCAAGATTGGATGTGGACTCCTTTGAATATCAGTTCTGGGGAATGAGGACATTAAAAATAGTAAGCTTCCTTCCTCATCCCCTGCCTCAAAAAAATGCCCCCTTATTTATCAACATCCTTTTCCTGCCCCTTCCCCAAGAGCTCGCAGTACAGTGTTTTAGAGGCCCCATTTGCACAGGTTTTCAGCGACTCAGAATACTCTACTGCCTTTTCTTTGAGAAAGGGTTGATACACTCCTGCTGTGCCCCTTTCTTCCCTCAAAACTCCTGCCTGTGTTTGTGTGGATCCCTAATCCCCAGAACCACACTGTTGAGATGGACACACTGTAAACCCTTGGGTAACTGTCAGGTCATTATGCAGACTTCAGGTTATTCTGTATAAAATGCAAAATAAATGTTTTTATTAACAATGCTTGAGTCTGCTATTAAATAAGAACTGGAGGAATCTTTATTATGGGGTAAGGAATCTGGCTAGTAAGATCCCGAACATAGCAGGTTATAAGTTATCCTCTGCATCCCTTTATCTTTTAGAGAGGTTTGGCCGCCTTTTACCCTAATCAGAGGAAAGGCTCCTGAGAGATTCCCAAAAGAGATTTCTGTTCTTCCTCAAGGTTAGGAAATCCTTGAATTTTAGCCCCTAACCTTCTTAATTTTGTTGTAGGGTAGAACATTCAAGGACTGACTACAGCTGAGACCACAAGTGCTTATGTGAATAATCCAAGAGCTGGTCTAGTCCACTGAGTGAAAGGAACAAACTATACCAAGGACAAATGGGCTATGACTGCTAGCTCAGGAGCTGAGCCACTAGAGGGCTCTGGTACTTCTTGGAGTGCCTACTCTTCTTTGCAGCTTCCCTTAAGGAGGTCCCCAAAATAACAAGAGGTGGTCCCGAGGGCCTCAGATATATGGGAGGTGTGAGACCAGATGATTCTGGCCTAAGACTCCTGCTGCAACTGACCTTCTGGAAAAGTCTATAAATAGGCAAGGGGGTGGGTACTAGGTCCTGGCTTGTAGAATTTGCTACTATAGTTAGCAGGGACACTATGTCCAAGAGGCCTTCTTACCCCTTCACTCCCCCAGGGAAGGAAGCCATGACTTTCATCTATTCTGCTTTATCTACATTATTCCCCCAAGAAACAATACAATAAAGCAAATTCACACTGTCACAATTTATTGAAATTTTATAAAAACTCAGGCCAAGTGGAAGAATAAGGTACAACCCAAGAGTACAAAGACAGTTCTGTTCAGTGCTTTTTTTCCTCCTGGGTCCTGTGGCACTGGTGGTAAGAAAGCCCCTTGCTCACTCCTAGCCTAGCAACATGGAAATACTCTTAAATTAGGCCTTACAGATTTCAGGTCAGGGGCAAGTTGCCTTTTCTCCTGAGGAATCTCAGGCAGAACAAGTTATTTACCACCCAGTACCTCTGTGCCAGAAGAAAAGCTCAATTTATTCTTAGAAAAGTTCCTGTCTTCCCCTAGTCAGAAACTAAGGTACCCTGACAGGGCCCAAAGATAACCACACAGTCCTGATGCTAATTCATTGTGAAAAGGCTGCAGGCATATGGGGCTCTCAGCATGGGCCTGATCCTTTCCTAGGCATGTCGCATTTCCATACTCCCTGCCTTTTCTTTCCCCCAGCATTTACAACCAGCATAGAGACCAATTTCTGGGGAATTGAGGGGAGGAACAGTATTTATGAACATAGACTCCTCACAGGAACAGGAACCAAACCAAATAAATAAGGATTGGGTGAGGAAGGGGAGTAGAGGAGAAGCTAAGGAATAATCCTTTGCCTCAAGTCTGGTGCACCTCATGGAACATCAGTTCACGGGGGATGGCTGTTTCTGGACCAAACTTGGTGGCTGCCCGACGCTCAAAGGCAGCAACATTCTGTTTGACAACCTCATCAAAAAACATGGTGGCCAGCTGGGAGTGCAGCAGAGAACGAAATTCAAAGGAAATCTGGGAATGGGTAAGAGACAGTCAGAAACTCTTCAGGACCATTTTGGATAATCTCTGGCCAAATGCAAGGATGCTGTTTCTCAGTGCCTTTTCTCCCTTTTCTTCCCCTCCCCCTCCAGTTCCTTAGATACCCTTAAGAGCCCTAACTTAGGGCTGAGCACAGAGTACAAATTGGATACAAGCTCAGACCTGTGGAAACTGATTGACGTGGGAAATGCTAGGTGCTAGCTATACTTACAGAATAACCTCAGCTCTGCCCCACACCCAGTCCTAGGGCTGTGCTACCCAGCCTCCTCACTCACCGAAAAGTCCACGGTGCAGGTTCGGGGGTAGGCAGGAATACCAGGGCTGAATCGCCAAATGGTCTCTAAGTGGTTGAAGAGCTTGCCGTCAGTACAAACAGCCTAGAATAGGACAATCAGTAGTTAAATAACATTAGTAAGCATAGGAGGCAATACAAAGGACTTGAAAGCCATCTTCCTTCTCTTCTAATATTTTATTAGGAAAATATTTGGCACACAAAGTCATTACAAGGAAGGCCAAAATAGCCCTTTAATGTGAAAGTGCTAAGGAACACACAAAAAACTTCCTGGACAGTCCCTCCCAATCAGGCCTCACCTTGACCATGTGAGGTTTGACCATGGAAACCGCAGAGGTATAACGTTCCATGATAGGTGGAAAGCCAACCTCTAACTGGGCCTTCAGGTGACCCTTACGGCTGGATATCACCAGAGACTTCTTACACCACGGCACAAACTCGCGATACTCCTGGACATTGGACACCACCTCATACATCTCCTGCATTGAGTACCTAAGGGAAGAGGAATCAGAGGCCAAGGAACTGCCAGCTGAGTCAGGTTACTTCTTGCCATAAGTCCCCAACTCATACCTTTACCCAGTAGCCGTGCACCTTTAGGAGTTAGAGATCCCAAATAAGCCTGGATGAATGACCCCAAAAGTAAATGTGCAAATCCCCATGATGTTAATGTTACCTTATATTTTGCAGTTTACAGAATGCTTTTGCATTCATTATTAATTTGATCCTAAGAAAGATCATCTAGGGCAAACAGAGAGGCTGTCAATTTTACTAGTGATCACACAAGCATCAGATCTCAGCTCTACAATTTTCTTTTTCTTTCTTTTTTTTTTTTTTTTGAGACAGAGTCTCACTCTTTTTGCCCGGGCTAGAGTGCCATGGCATCATCCTAGCTCACAGCAACCTCAAACTCCTGGGTTCAAGTGATCCTCCTGCCTCAGCCTCCCGAGTAGCTGGGACTACAGGCATGCGCCACCATGCCCGGCTAATTTTTTCTATATATTTTTAGTTGTCCAATTAATTTCTTTCTATTTTTAGTAGAGACGGGGTCTCGCTCTTGCTCAGGCTGGTTTCGAACTCCTGAGCTCAAACAATCCGCCCGCCTCGGCCTCCCAGAGTGCTAGGATTACAGGCGTGAGCCACCGTGTCCGGCCTACAATTTTCTGACAATGTTGTGGCCCTAGGTAAATCATCTGTGCCTCCATTTTCTCATTTATAAACCAAAGACAATAATAGCACCTGATTTATAGGTTTGTTGTGAGGATTAAATGAAAAAAATCTATGTAAAACACCTAAGCAGCCTAGCTGCTAGCATGTAGCAAGTACTCAATAAGTTAGCTATTACATTGTGTTCAGAACACATAAAAAAAAAAGGTCAGGTTACCAGAGAAATAATAGTCTTATGGTATAGTCCAACCTTAGTCTCATTTCACTTGCACATGCACAGCAACCAAGAAAAGGGGATATTAAGGTTGGGAGCTGGTAAGGAAGGATAAAAAGATCAGTAATAGATCTGGGGCGGGGGTTGGCCAGGTATGAATCTTGCCCACTAATAGTACTCTTACATTCTAGCCTGGACATGGTTATTTGGAGGGAAAGGGGAAATAGTGGGATGCAGGGTAGAGAAAGATGCTCACCCCATGATCCTACGCTCTGAGTAAGCCTTTCGCTTGTTGGTGAAGGGGGCAGCAAAGCCCATGAAAGAACGGCTGGGAGGTGAGCGAGCTTCAGCTGCCAAGACCTGGGTAGCCCTAGGCCAGAAGAGGCTGCAGGAGATCAGAAACCTAAGACCCAGAGGAAAGAAGAAGAAACAAGATTGTACATATTCCTCTATTACTTCCAGGTGAAAGGGAAGAAAGGTGCACCCCAGAGGAAGGTCGTCCAGACAACCTTTCCCTCCAGCACCTGCTGCAGCCGGCCAGTCTCGCTTGCTCTCTGGCCAGGCAATCACGAGTGCAAAAGGTTGAGGGCGGCTGAGGACAGGGCTGGGGGTGGGAATGGGAAAAAGCAGGGTGCATGCGAAGCTGCAGTTGCCTTTCGGGCTACGCTACTGCTGAAAGTTAAGACTCTCAGTAAGCATCACTGCCCCCGGGCCCCGCTAGGCCTGTTATTGCTAGGGCACCCAAGAGGGCCAAGAATGGTTGGACACCCACCCCGAGGACTTCCCCTGTCGTAGAACTTGGAAAAGCATTCTTCAAAGCTCTACATTAGCTCCCAGGGCACGACCAATGCCGGCTTCCGCCTCGCCTGAATCCCCCGGTTGCAACCTTCCGCGGCAGAACCTCGGGGTCCTCAGCGACCCCCTGCTCTCCTGTGCGGACGCCCGCGCCTCCCTCTCACCTCATTGGTCGCGGCTGTAGCAGAGGGCCTGGGGGCGGGGCCGGGCGCGCACCCGGGCGGAGGGAGAGGACGCCGCAGCGCTGGGCAGCCGCGCGGGTCCCAGCGGGGAGTCGCCGCGCGCCCGTCGAGGCCATGCGCGCGACCCTGCCTGGCCCTCTCGGCTCCGACACTGGCTGCTCCCTACTCACTCCAAAGGAGGAGAGGCAGGAAGCGGCAGCCGAGCGGGTCCCCGGCGGCCCCCCGAGCGCAGGGGCGGCGCGAGGCTGCGGATCCCTGCCCTGCTCCCGTCCAGGCGGCCGGGTAGGCTAGAACTGAAGCCGGTACCAATGTTCCACAGCTCTCGGTATCCCCCACGTCACGCCGTTGCCATGGCTCAGGACTGGGCGAGGGAGGAAGGAAGGGGATAACGCTGCCTGTTGGGAGATGTAGTTTCACACCCCTGGCGAATTAGGGCGCTGGGGTGTGTGTTTGAGAAGCTGCAGAGCTGGCTTAGGGGAACGAGGTCCTCAGGCAGAAACTACTTGGCAAGTCGTGGTCACAGGACCTGATACGTAGGCACAGAGGCAATTTCGTGGGCGTGTCAATAGATACCTGTGGATCCTGTGAGCGCCTCTCTTAGAGCCTTTATCATAGTCTGCTTTGTTTATGGTTAGAAGATCTGTTCATTTTTGTAGCCTCCACAGTGGCTAGTGCTGTGCTTTACATCTTTGGGAAAAGAAATTAATGTTCCAAGCGCTGACCTAAGACTTTGCATAGCTTTCCCTTTTAATATTTACAGAAGGAAGTCGGGATGGGAAGAACCAGACGTTTAGGGGAGAGAACTATCTTTGGAAAAGTGTGCACTTGACAGAGTGAGACCTCATGGACAGAAACCCAGACATTTAAATATCACTATACTACTTTTTATGATTCAAGGAGGAAAAAAAATGCTCTTGATAAAAGAAGAAGAAAGGAATGAAAAAGGAGAATGAAATAAAGCAATTAGAAAGAGACTGGATTTAGATGGGTGCAAGAGCAATTGAAATTCTTCATGGTAGGCCAGCCGCAGTGGTTTACGCCTGTAATCTCAGGACTTTGGGAGGCAGGAGGATTGCTTTTGAGCCTAGGAGTTCGAAACCAGTCTGGCAACATAGTTTGATTCCCCCCCACATACACACACACACACAAAATATTTTAAAATTACTCTGGCGTAGTGGCACGCGCTTGTAGTCCATACATTCCAGGTTGCAGTGAGTTGATCGTACCACTATACTCCAGCATGGGCGACAAAGCGAGACTGCATCTATAAAAAAATAAAAAACTGCTCTGCCTCCACAGCACTTAGTACTACTAGTTCAATAAATAATTGTGACCAAATGAATGTTTTATCATCTTTCCTTTTATCTTTTTTTCCACCTATTAGGGAGGCATATGAAACCCCACGTTGGAGAATGATCTTACTTTTTTTTCTCTCCTAACATCTGTTCTTTTTTCCCTCAGCACTTCAGAGAGGACCGGTTATGTCCCCACTCCCAATCCTCCTCCCCACTACCATGGTGCAGTACCTCCTTCAGTTCAAAGAGGATAATCTGGAGCCACCTTCAAATGGGCATATGACCTTGAAGGACAGATTTATTCTTTCCAACCTCACTCTCTTGTCCAGCCCCACCTCCTCTGACTAAGGACTTACACATGTGAGACAGCTGCTTTGAATAAGGATCTGGTTGGGTAGAAGAAATTAACTGGGATACATGACTGAACTGTGACCTCATTAACACTCTGTCTTAACCGAGTTAACTGCTACAGAATCCCCAAGGTCCAATGGGCCTGCCAAGCCAATTTGCTTGCTGTCCCTCTACTAATTAGATTAGCTAATTACTGCCATTTAAACCTTTTCTAGTTTATTCCCTATACTTGATTTCCTGCCATGTCCCTGCCATTCTACATCAATAACTTCCTTCAAGTACTGATTCAAAATACACCTCCTCCAGGAAGACCCTCTTGACTGAACCCATCCATCAACATTACTCTGAACACATAATGCCACATAAACTAGCAGGTATCCTATATTCTCTAGTTGTTTTATGTGTATATGTGTGTTCCTCTCTAAGTTATAAGCTTCCTCAAAAAGAGATACAATTACTTCTACACTTGATCTTAGCCAAAAGGTTGAGAAGCAATGGGACACCATTACTTGTAAGTTTCTACCTCCCAACAAGTTAGTACTGTCTGCATGATGAGTCCTCACGTTTGTTAGAAGAAGGAAAACAGAGGCTTAAAGATAGGCGGCATCTGCCTACAGTTAACCAAATATGAGTTCAGTACTTGAATACAGAAGGACTGTCCACATAAGAGAGTTTTACCACCACTTCGGGCTTCCTCCTCCTCCACCTTGTGTGTCTCCCTGACCCCTGAGCCCTAAGCCCTGAAAGTATAAGTGTTACCTACATCATATCCCTTTTTTCCTTACTGTGAAATCCTCTTTCTGTGCTCTGAATAATATTAAGAATAACTCTTCTAGCCCTTCCTCCCTCTTCCAGTTGCCCAGATAACCAGGCTGGCAACCTCCCTTTTTCACTTCTATCCCCAAGCCAGAGCAGGCACGTGACCCCAGCTCAACCCCTGACTCCAATTCCTCAGGTTACCAAGAGCTATTTTGGGCAATGGATACCATGTATTGCCCTCCTCACTATCCTCTGGGCCATATCCTAGCTTAGCCCTTCTTGGAAGGCCCATCATATCGGATAGCCAAGTCCTAACACCCATAGCCATCTGATCCCTACTTACCTTTGGTTTCTACTTCTGCCACATCATCATCATTACATCAAAATATTAAATGACTGTTTCCATGCGCTGATCTGCTGGAGCTAAGAAAAAATTTAATGTACACTTTTAATGTATAGCTTTGCCTTCAGAAAGCTCAAAATTCTTTTTCCATTAAACAAAAATAAAAACAATGTACAGTTCTGTGTTAGGGAAGACGCTGACTCTGGCTAATAAGGAAATTAAAATCTGTTCTGAAATGTCTGACACCTGTGTGTCATAAAAATATCAGGTGAAATTAGAAACAAAGGTGTACAATTTAAACCAGATTGTGGCAGGGCAAACTAAGTATATGCTAAGAACTAACAAAAGGAAAAGAGCCTGTTAATCAGGGGAGACTTCCTGGTTAACAGGTAAGTGTTTTTGGTTTGGTTTTGTTTTGAAGCCAATCAAATTTAGCAGTGGAGTTTAAGCAATATTTTAAATTTTATTTTCAATATGGTAAAAATTCAAAACACTCTGAAAGGTATATAGTGATAGGTGAATTTCCCTCTCATTCCTCATTCCTGTTCCCCAGTTTTTTCTCTCCAGGGAAAAGCACTGTTGCCAGTGTTTTGAGTATCTTTCTAGCGGGACGCAAGATATTGAAGGCAAGGGAAGGCTTTATTTTATATATAAGGCCTTGACAGGGGACCCGCATGCTACACTTCTTCCATAAAATGTTTCCTTCAACGTGTAGAGTTGCTAACTCGGATCAGGACCCTGAATCACCTTTACTGTACCAATTTTTCAATCTCCACTTTTCTTCTTCCCCCCTTTTTCCTTTCTGGGCTGGAATGACTTCCATTCATTCAGTTCTTCCCTAATTGACAGCTCAAGGGTGGGGGAACACCCCTACTCTTTTCTGGGGAGAAACCTTTGCGTTTTTGAAGTGTAATCACCCTACCACTTTAACCTGGCAATGGAGTAGTTAGGGAGTTGAAAAGTGCCCCTTCTGTCGGCCTTGTAGGACTTCTCCAGTTGCCAGTTATCCTAGCCTCTTTGTGGGGGTTTTCTGCAGCAGGAGAATCCTTCTTAGGGTTTCTCTGCAGTTTGAGCACTTTAGCTAGTTCCTTTCTACGGAGTTCACGTGTCCGCCAGTGGAGATACGCGCCTTCGCTCCCTCTGGGGCTATTGACATATATAATTCCTAGATCTCCACCCCCCAATTTCCCCTAGTCTGTGGGGAATTTGGCGTATGGAATAGCTGACGAGAGGAGTTAGCTCGGGCGGGGGCATTGTGGGCTGGGTGAGATCTGGCCAGCCGTTTGGTCCCCAGGTTGAGAGGAACGGCGGGACCAAGGCCTGGGTTTCCGCTAGGGTCTTGTGGGGGACCCCGCAGACCGTCAGACTGGAGCGGAGAACACAGCGCGGCCGGCCAGGGGAACCGGGTGCCAGCGTCCGAGATCTGGGGTGCCGGGCAGCTCCGGCAGCCGGGGTGGGGCGGAGGGCGCTGCGGCCTGGGACAGCCTGCGCGGCGAGAGCCCTGCGGCCGGGCCCAGGACGGCCGCCAGGGAGCGCTGCGGCCTCCCGCTCGCCCGCCCCCCGGTAGGCGGGGCCGCGCTCTCCCCGCAGCCGCCGCCGCCGCCGCAGCCGCCGCCTGGGCCGCCCCGTGTCCCCGGTGGAGCTGCTGCCGCCGCCGCCGGGAGCTCGATGCGGACGGAGCCCGGGCCGGGCCATGGGGATCCTCAGCATCACGGACCAGGTCAGCCCTCCTGCCCTTCCCTGCTTCCTCCTTCCAGGGCTCGGTGCCGCCGCCACGCGAGCCGGGGGATGTGCGGCCTAGGCTGGGCTGGAGCCCCGGGCTACCGCAGCTCCCGCCCCGCCCCACGCCGCGCTCCCCTCAGCCGAGCCGGTGTCCTTGGGGACCTGGCAACCGGCGGAGGCACCGCAGGAGCGCGTTGCAGCCAGGACCCCCCACAGCGGAGCCCCTCCAGCGACGTCCCCCCTCAAAGCTGGGTGCTCCCCCACCCCCACCGCGGTTCCGCTCCGGCCCGCTCCCTGAATGCGGGTTCTGCTTGCAGCCGCCCCTGGTCCAGGCCATCTTTAGTCGAGATGTGGAGGAAGTGCGTTCCCTCCTCTCACAGAAGGAGAACATCAATGTGCTGGTGAGTTGGGAGCAGGGAGGATGGCGAGCCCTGAATCCGGTGTGCTGGACCGCTCGCAGTGGGGCGGCTCCGGGTCTCCTCTGCTCAGATGAGGCCGCACCTCTTTCCACCCTGGGGTGGGAGCCAGCTCTGCATTTGAGGATGGGGAACAGTAGGTCAGTCAGGCTTGGACCACAGGCCAGTGGGTCTGGGGATGCCCAGAAACCGTATTCTTTTTCTGAACCATTGGGGTCTGCAGCGCCCCCACCCCTCCTGGAAAAAGGAGACGGCTTCTTGGCCTTGTAGCCCTGACTCCACCCTCCCTAGGTGCTTATCTTTGACTCTCAGAATGCTGCCGTGGGAAGAGATTGTGGGGGAAAGCCTGGAGCTCTAAGACGTGGGCTAGGGTCCTTCATAGTTTCCTACCACCACCACAGCCCCTCCTCTTTTCTGCCTTCCCAGGACCAAGAGAGGCGAACCCCACTGCATGCTGCTGCCTACGTAGGCGATGTCCCCATCCTCCAGTTGCTACTGATGTCAGGTGAAAGAGGGGAGCTGGAAGGTGTGGCATCTAGGGAGAGAGGGAAGGAGAGAGGGGAGGAGTCTCTTTTTTTGATATCCAAGGATTGATCTCTGGGGTTTAGTCCCATGTGAGGTGCCAGCTCCATCCAGATTCCCTGGCCTAGTTACTGGCTTCTTTCTCACCCTCTCCCCACCTTCCATCAAAATAGGAAATTATATCCCCACAGGTGCTAATGTCAACGCTAAGGACACACTGTGGCTGACCCCTCTTCATCGTGCTGCTGCCTCCCGAAACGAGGTATGGGCCTCCCACCTTCTGTTATCCTTCCAAAAAGGATGAGTTGATTAAAGGTGGGGGTTAAAGGTTGGAGAGTCTCAATCCTCTGCCCTACAAGCTGTTCTACCCCAGGTAGGGAGGAGTCCAGATCTTGGCCCCTCCTTTCTACCCCTAAAACAGGCTGGTAAGGGGGCTGAATGCTGCCAGCTGATGTGACGTCAGGGAGAGCTTAACACTGGGCTGGCAGACTGCGGGGGCCCTGCTGCCAGGCCTGAGTGACTCATCCCTCCCTGGGGGGCCACCTTGAGTCTGATCCCCCTCTGGGCACTGAGATTTCTTTCCTTGTGATGGGGGATGGGCATAGTGATCTCTTGCATCCCTGCCCCTCAAGCAGCATGAAAGTTGACAGCACAGGGGCCAAACATATTTTATTAGTCGGGCCCTCTACCCTGTTCCCAGTAATCCTGAAGAGAGGGAAAAGGAGACCCCCAGCCCCAATTCAGCCATCACTGGCTCCAGCCATCAGGGGGAGGGGCTGAAGCCGGTGGGAATGAAGTGGGTGGTGGTTAGGAGGGGCATTTTAGACTGGATTTTGGAGAGGAACCAGTATCTGTTTGCTTACTGAGGTAATGGAAATGATTTTGGTGCCTATGAAAGGGCTAAGGAACATGTTCAGGCCGTTAATGTAGCAAGGGCATTTAGCTTTCCTGGAAGTAGTGGGGGGTTGGGATGTATGGATCTACATGTGTGGATTTGTTTGGGAATGGATGTTTGTGGGTGAAGATTTTCAGGGTCTGGGTTGGGGAGTGATACCAGGTGACTTGAGGAGAAGGGGTCCCTGTTTTCTTCAGCAAGGTAAGGAAGATTTTTAAGCTTTAAAAAGCTGCAGAAGATGGGAAGTAGGTATGGAAAGGCTATGTATGTTGGAAAAGTGAGAAGAGACTCTGTGTTGGGGGGGATGGTGCCATATGTGCCATGCTGACCTATCCCTCCTCCATTTCCTGTTGTTTTACCCTCTGATCCCCCTCTATCTTTTGCCCCCTGCCCCTCAACAGAAGGTGCTGGGGCTGCTGCTGGCACATTCAGCAGATGTGAATGCCCGGGACAAGCTGTGGCAGACACCACTGCATGTGGCTGCTGCCAACCGGGCCACCAAGTGTGCTGAGGCTCTGGCACCCCTGTTGAGCAGCCTCAACGTGGCTGACAGGAGCGGGCGCAGTGCTCTGCACCATGCAGTGCATAGTGGGCATCTTGAGGTGAGGACTGCTCCAATCCAGGCCCAGCCTAGTGCTTTCCCTTTCCTTACTTTTCTACTTACCTTTCCCTGCTTCTGGGCCATCAGGCCTGGGGGAGAAGCAGCCCAGATGGTTATATAAACACTCCAGCTCAAGCACCAAATGAATGATTGGACTAGATTGACAGTCTTGACTTGGACTTCAGGAGGTTGACAAACCCTCTGATGTTACATGGACAATTTTTGCATACATGCGTTTTTCTGAAGAGAAAGTCCATGTCTTTCAACAGATTTTCAAAGCCTTATAAGAGTTTAAGAACCACCAGATCACCTGAAGAGACTCCCTTGAGTTTCCCTTAAAGTTCCAGGTCTATCTGATATCTCCTTAGTGCCTGCTTCTGCTATTCCCTTTAGTCCTCCAGATTGTTCTGCTCAAGAACACAGGCATTAATTAGGCTGGCTCAGCCTTATCAAGAGATGAGGCCTCTGCTCTTAGGTAGATTGTCAGCATGAACCTGGTGCTGAACAGATGTCTTTCATATCCTGATACAGACGGTGAACCTGCTCCTCAACAAAGGAGCCAGCCTAAATGTCTGTGACAAAAAGGAGCGGCAGCCTCTGCACTGGGCAGCTTTTCTAGGTGAGAGAGAATACACAGGAAAATCAGAAAGTTGACATTTAGGATTCATAGGGAAGGGATATGGGTTGCAGCCTTTGGAGAGAGGAGCTCAGGGTCGTAGAGTTCATCTTCTACCTCCTTGAGAGTGTCCTTTCTTTTTTCAGGGCATTTGGAGGTCCTGAAACTGCTGGTGGCACGGGGAGCAGACCTTGGCTGTAAGGACCGCAAGGGCTATGGACTGCTCCATACAGCCGCTGCTAGTGGCCAGATTGAAGTGGTGAAGTACCTGCTTCGGATGGGGGCTGAGGTCAGGGTGCTGAGCACGGGGGCTGCGGACTAAGGGGAGGGAGTGGGAGGTCAGACTCAGTTATAGCGGTATGAAGATGCTGGGAGTGTTGGTGTGGTTTTTGGGAGGTTGGGAAGATGTGGTGAAGAGTGTCTGAATAACGCTTACCTTAAGTAATACTGCCCTCAGTCTTTTGGGTCAGGAACCTGAGGGGACTGAGGCAGTCATTGGATTTCTGGGACTCTCTAGGCCATATATGCCAGCTTCCATTTTGTTTAAACTGATACCTCCCTTACCCTCACCCCTGGAAATCCAGATTGATGAGCCCAACGCTTTTGGAAACACAGCTTTGCACATCGCCTGCTACCTGGGCCAGGATGCTGTGGCTATTGAGCTGGTGAATGCAGGAGCCAATGTCAACCAGCCAAATGACAAGGGCTTCACACCACTGCATGTGGCTGCAGTCTCCACCAATGGCGCGCTCTGCTTGGAGCTGTTGGTCAATAACGGGGCTGATGTCAACTACCAGGTGCCTGAAGGGATGAGGCTTAAACCAGTGGGGAGAGGAACCTGGCTCTAGGGGTCCTGACCATGTCTTGATAGCTTTCCTGGGGAGTTGTCTCCTTGCCTCCTGGGGTGATTAAACCTTGCTAGGGACTTAGGACAGTGTGAACTGAGAAGATGCCCATATGACCTCTCTGTCCTCAGAGATGTGTCCTTGGAAGGGGGAACAGGGCATTTTCTTCTTTGCATTGAAAAAAACCCACCATGTTTCCACAGAGCAAAGAAGGGAAAAGTCCTCTGCACATGGCTGCAATCCATGGCCGTTTCACGCGCTCCCAGATCCTCATCCAGAATGGTATGGACTGGGGAGACTTTGTGTTCTCATCTCCTCCTCCCCCAAGTAATTCATCCCTAGAAACCCCCTACCTCCCTCCTTTTGCCCTCTTCTAGTCAGGATAGGCACTTGGAACTCTGTGGAAATGGCCCTGCTCTGCTCCGCCAGTCTCCTAAGGCTTACAAACAAGATAATACATGTAGAATGATGGGCCTGGCACCTGGTACTTAATAAGTACTCAAATGGTAGCTAACTAGTGAGAGTGGTCTTAAGCCTGAGGTCTGCCTGAGTTTGTATTTGCCTTCCCTCAGGCAGCGAGATTGATTGTGCTGACAAATTTGGGAACACGCCACTGCATGTGGCTGCTCGCTATGGACACGAGCTGCTCATCAGCACCCTCATGACCAATGGCGCGGATACCGCCCGGTAAGTTAGGGCCCCTTCAGGTCTATACAGACTGCTCACATCAAACAAGGAAGCTTGCCAAAGGGAACCTTGGAGAACCTCCTACCCTGAACTCTAGGATGGTGGTGGGCTGCAAAAAAGAGATCTATAACTGGTCCCTCCTTGACCCAAGGACTGAGTCCCTCAACTTCTCCCCAGGCGTGGCATCCATGACATGTTCCCTCTGCACTTAGCCGTCCTCTTTGGATTCTCTGACTGTTGTCGTAAGCTGCTTTCCTCAGGTATGTGCCAACTGGGTGGGGCTCAGGCAGGTGTATAAGAGAGTAGAGGCCTTTCCCTCTCTGCTTAATGCTCTCGGATGTGATCTGTGGCTCTTCCACCCCTCCAGGTCAGCTGTACAGCATTGTATCTTCACTCAGCAATGAGCATGTGCTTTCAGCTGGGTTTGACATCAATACACCTGACAACCTTGGCCGCACCTGTCTTCATGCTGCTGCTTCTGGAGGGTGAGTTCTCTTTCCTCTCTCCCTGGCCTTGAGAAGATAGTGGGCAGGGGTCTGAGCCCCTCATTCTTACCTGCCCATATCTGTTCCCCCTCTCACAATGAGAGCAGTCACAGCAGAAAGAGCTGCTTAGTTCCATCCTTCCTCAGCCCCTCCCTGAGCCTATGGCTTCTCCCTGAGGCTCTAACTCCCTTAACAGTCATCTTCCTCTTAGGAATGTTGAATGTCTTAATTTGCTGTTGAGCAGTGGAGCTGACTTGAGGAGGAGAGACAAATTTGGAAGGTATGTTAACATGCAGGGGTATACGTAGGGAATGTCTGATTAGAGAGAAAAATGGTAAAGGGAAGAAGGGGTGGGGAGTTGGAGACTAAGTGAAGAGAATGTTGCAGAACAGCATTTGGATGCTCATCTGGTTGCATTTGGATCTCTCCCTGATTCTCTTACCCACCTTCCTTCACTCCTTGCCCAGGACCCCACTGCACTATGCAGCCGCCAACGGTAGCTACCAGTGTGCAGTAACACTGGTGACTGCTGGGGCAGGCGTCAACGAGGCTGACTGTAAAGGTTGCTCTCCCCTGCACTATGCTGCCGCCTCCGACACTTATAGGAGGTGAGACTCCCACTTTGGCCCTTCTCAACCCCATTCACCTCCCTGAACCTCCCTCTGACCTTTTCTGTCTCTTCTCTAGAGCGGAACCCCACACACCTTCCAGCCACGACGCTGAAGAGGACGAGCCACTGAAGGAGTCCCGCAGGAAGGAGGCTTTCTTGTGAGTAACAGAAGACCCCCGGGACGTGCTTTCCCAAAGTGCTAACTCTGGTTCTGTCATTCTCCCACCACCTCCGAATCTCCACCACCGCATTTCTGTTGCTGTCATGCTGGTCAGTCAGCAGTGTTTGGTTTGATTTTTTTTTTTTTTTTTTTTGAGACAGAGTCTCACTGTTGTCTAAGAATGCTACTGACTTTTGTATGTTGAATGGCTCAAGCAATCCTTCTGCCTCAGCCTCCCGAGTAGCTGGGACTACAGGCATGCGCCACCATGCCCGGCTAATTTTTTCTATGTATTTTTAGTTGTCCAATTAATTTCTTTCTATTTTTAGTAGAGACGGGGTCTCGCTCTTGCTCAGGCTGGTTTCGAACTCCTGAGCTCAAACAATCCGCCCGCCTCGGCCTCCCAGAGAGCTAGGATTACAGGCGTGAGCCACCGCGCCTGGTCTAGTTTGATTTTTTTCCTAGCATTCCTCCCACCTGAGCCTCCCAGGTTGCTGGGATTACAGGCGTAAGCCACTGCAGCCAGCTCCTAGCAGTGTGTTTTAAGCACTCTGGGTTTGACCCAGAGTGGGCAAAGACAAAAGTGTGAGACATAGTTCCTTCTCTAAAGGGATGGATGGTTTTCTTGAGAAGATCAGAAAAGCTAAGTACACAAAATCATTTATTTATTTCACAAGAATTAATTGACTGTTTACTTACTATGTTTTAAGTATTATGCTAGATACTAAGGATAAAAGATGAATTACCCCAAATTTCTGCCTTTTGAAAACTAATAATCTATTGGGGAAGATAAACAAAAGAACACTTATGATGTAAGATATTAATAATAGGGGAAACTAGGTGTGGCATATATGGGAACTCTCTTCACAATTTTTCTATAAGACTGTTCTCAAATAAAAAGTTCATTTTTTGCCAGGCACAGTGGGATGTGCCTTAGTCCCAGCTACTCAGAAGACTGAGGTCAGAGGATCATTTGAGCTCAGGAGTTCAAGGCTGTGATGCATGATGATCACACCTGTGAATAGTTATTGCATTCTAGCCTGGGCAACATAGTGAGACCCCCATCTCTAAAAATAAAAAAAGCTTTTGTTAAAGGTTTATTTTTTGGTGGGTGCTGTAGCTCAGGCCTGTTATGATAACACTTTGGCAGGCAGAGACAGGGGGATTTGAGACTATCTTGGGCAATAGTGAGACCCCATTTCTACAAAAATAAAAAGATTAGCTTGGCTTGGTGACACGTGCCTGTAGTCCTATCCACTAGGGAGGCTGAGGCAGGAGGATCGCTTGAGCCTAGGAGTTTGGGATTGCAGTAAGCTACGATGATACAACTGCCCTCTAGCCTGGACAACAGAGACTCTGTCTCAAAAAAAAGAAAAGTTTATTTTTTAAAAAGGACAATAAAATCCAAGAGGCTCAGCTGTGTGACCCTTGACAAGTTACTTAACCTCAGTGCCTCAATTTCCTTAACCATAGTAAGGATAAAAAATAGTATCTACCTCATAGGATCATTAGGAGGATTAAATTATTTAATACACGTGACATACTTAGAACTGCTTGACACGTAGTGCTAGACACTTTATTATTACTACTATAAAGGTATAAGAAGGCTGCCAAGAAGTTCAGAGGAGGCAGCACCTTCCCCTGGGAAGACTGGGGAAGGGCTCACAGAGGAGAGGAGCTGGGACTGAGTGTGAGATGAGTAGGACTTCTTCGGATGGACTGGGAGAAGAAGGCATCCTAGGCAGGAGTTAGCATGCCTGGAGGTATGGGGGAAAGCATGTGGATCGGCAGGAGGTTGATAACTGAGTATTGTGCTCTAGGTTCTCTAGGAGAGCATTCAAAGAGCAGAGGAGGGCACTGAAGCCATGCTAACCCCTGCCTAGGATGCCTTCTCCTAGCCCATCTGAGGAAGTCCTACTCATCTCGTACTCAGTCCCAGCTCCTCTCCTCTGTGAACCCTTCCCCAGTCTTCCCAGGGGAAGGTGCTGCCTCCTCTGAACTTCTTGGCAGCCTTCTTATACCTCGTAGTAGGGCAGACCTTGAGAAGGTAGTAGGACTGAAGCTGGGGCTGAAGAATGGGCAGGAGAGCCTACCTAGACCAGAGGATGGGTGGTGGCCAGGTAGGCCTGGAGGGGCTCCCTTGCCCCTCTCTGGCCCTCCCAGAACTGTGCCTTCCTGGGCTGGGCCTGTCCCTGCCTCACAGTGTACCCCTGGCTCCCCAGCTGTCTGGAGTTCTTACTGGATAACGGTGCAGACCCCTCCCTGCGGGACAGGCAGGGCTACACAGCTGTGCACTATGCAGCCGCCTATGGCAACAGACAGAACCTCGAATTGGTATGTGTCATGACCGGCCTGGGGGAGGGGAGGCGGGCAAGGCACAGAGCCCATCTTTGGGTTTGTGGATTCTGAAGCCAAGGGGTGGTTGAATCAAATGTGGGCTTTAGATCCAGGGGCTTAGGGGATTACTGTGAGTGGGGGACTGAGATAATAACGTGGGAGTTCCAAAGTCTTATCACCTACTTTCCTGTCCATTGCAGCTCTTAGAAATGTCCTTTAACTGCCTGGAGGATGTGGAGAGCACCATTCCAGTCAGCCCTTTGCACTTAGCTGTGAGTCCCAAGTCTTTTCCTCTTGCCTTCCTTGTCCCGACTTGCCCCGAGGCCCACACAAAGGGGCTGGCACTTGTGAATGTATCCTTGTTTCTGCCTTCTTGCGGGAATGTGCCAAGCAGGGAGTTGCCTGGACAGGGGATGAGCACAGTGCAGGGTAAGAGGCCTTGTGGGGCCCAAGGGTTTGTAGAGGACTTATGCCTGAAGCCTCCCCATAAACCCTGAGAGCAGAGTTGGGGTGGGTTAGGGACAGGGGAATGTCCCAAACTGTGCCTGTTGCTTGCCTGCTCTCACCAGGCCTACAACGGTCACTGTGAAGCCCTGAAGACGCTGGCTGAGACGCTGGTGAACCTGGATGTAAGGGACCACAAGGGCCGGACCGCGCTCTTCCTGGCCACTGAGCGAGGCTCTACTGAGTGTGTGGAGGTGCTTACGGCCCATGGCGCCTCTGCCCTCATCAAAGAGCGCAAGCGCAAGTGGACGCCCCTGCACGCTGCTGGTCAGTACCCCCTTCGGGCTTGCAGTCCTACCCTTGCCATACTAAATCCCTCCTGGATGGGGTTGGGGGTGGAAATAGGGTAGGGTGAGGAGAATGGAAACTTCAAGCCCTGATTCGTAGTTTCCTATCCTCAAAGATTTCTCCCTGGTCCTGGTCTTCCCATAATCTCGGCTCCTGAGTCCCTTAGGCTTGGCCTACCTTCCTGACCCTGCTCTGACGCGGTCTTCCTTTTTCTCTAGCTGCCTCTGGCCACACTGATTCCCTGCACTTGCTGATAGACAGTGGAGAACGAGCTGACATCACAGATGTCATGGATGCCTATGGACAGTGAGTGTGGGCCATGGGTGGGGTACAGGTTTTCCAATCCTTGCTGGACCCTCACCCTTTCTCCTGCCCCCTCTGTAGAACCCCACTGATGTTGGCTATCATGAATGGCCACGTGGACTGTGTACATCTGCTGCTAGAGAAAGGATCCACAGCTGATGCTGCTGACCTCCGGGGCCGCACTGCCCTCCACCGTGGGGTGAGTGAGCTCCTGGGTGGGACTGCTCACAGACAGGCCTTGGTGTGGGAGCACAGGGTCCTAGCAGTAGGGCATCAGAGTGTCTAGGAGACGGGCCAGGATTCTGTGCCCAGGGTCTTACTGGGCCTTACTGGGCTTGCCCCAGGATGTGTCCCTGACATCATGGGCTGATTCCCCAGATAACCCTGCTTTGCAATCACATACAACCACATGCTCCTCACCCAGACTCTGCCCAAGATACCCTCTTGGCCCTGTCCCATCAGGTAATGATGCTACCACCCAGATCCTTCTCCTCAATCACCTGTCCTAAAGCCTCTTCCTCTTCCTGCAGGAAATTTTGATCCCAGTCTCTTAGTCTCTTTTGTACTCTCCATTTGGTCTTTTATTCCAGAACTCCAGTATTAACTCTCACCACCCTGATTAGCATAGAGAGAGTCAAGGAAGGAGGTGCTGATCCCTAACATTTAGAATCATTGTTGTAAAGACAAGGCTTGGAGCCCTGGAAGTATTTCTTACCCCTAGGCCAGCCCCTAGCAACTGGCTGGTGGAAAGGGAGTGGCTTCTCACCCCACTCATACTCCCACGTCACCCACAGGCAGTGACTGGCTGTGAGGACTGCCTGGCTGCCCTGCTGGACCATGATGCGTTTGTACTATGCCGAGACTTTAAGGGCCGCACACCCATTCACCTGGCCTCAGCCTGTGGCCACACTGCAGTACTGCGGACCCTGCTGCAGGCTGCCCTTTCCACAGACCCCCTGGATGCCGGGGTGGATTACAGCGGATACTCGCCCATGCACTGGGCCTCCTACACTGGTACTGATCTGGGGCCTTTGCAGGCACAGGAATGTGTATGGGGTGTATAGGAGGGGACAATTGGGTTATGGGAGGAAGCTGGGTTGATCTGGAAGTGAAATGGAGTGTCAAAAGAAAGGACAGAGCCCAGGTGTGGTGGCTTACACCTGTAATTAGCACTTCGGGAGGCCAAGATGGAGGATTGCTTGAGTTTGAGGCTAACCTGGGTAACAGTGAAACTCCATCTCTTAAAAAAAAAAAAATGAGGCCAGGCATGGTGGCTCATGTCTATAATCCTAACATTCTAGGAAGCTGAGGCAGGAGGATCACTTGAGCTCAGGAGTTCGGGACCAGCCTGAGCAAGAATGAGACCCGTCTCTACTAAAAATAGAAAAATTAGCCAGGCGACTAAAAATAGAAAAAATTAACCTAGCATGGTGGCTCACACCTGTAGTCCTAGCTATTTGGGAGGCTGAGACAGGAGGATCACTTGAGCCCAGGTGTTTGAGGTTGCTGTGAGCTAGGCCAATGCTACAGCACTCTAGCCCGGGCAACAGAGTGAGACTATGTCTCAAAAAAAAAAAAAAAAAATGGACAGGGCAAGTGTAGGGAAACTTGTCATTTCTCTCCATCACCACTCCTTTCTTCCTTATGCCCAGGACATGAAGATTGTCTGGAGTTGTTACTTGAACACAGCCCGTTTTCATACCTGGAAGGAAACCCCTTCACTCCTTTGCACTGTGCAGTGTAAGTCCTTTCCAATGTATTAGCCCCTCTCTCAGGGCTGTGACCTGGGCTTAGGACAAGTCCATTTCCCTTGTCCCTCCTGATGACCCCTCCTCCCTCTTCTCCCAGAATTAATAACCAGGACAGCACTACAGAGATGCTGTTGGGAGCTCTGGGTGCCAAGATTGTGAACAGCCGTGATGCCAAAGGACGGTGAGTGATGGAAGGGTTGGGAGAAGCCTGAGTTGCCTCCGGCTTCCTCTTTCTGCTCAGGCAGAAGAGTCTTCCCAATTTCAGTCTGCCCTGACCCCCACCCCACAGGACCCCTCTTCACGCCGCTGCCTTCGCGGATAATGTCTCTGGACTCCGGATGCTGTTGCAGCACCAAGCCGAGGTGAACGCCACTGACCACACTGGCCGCACTGCGCTCATGACGGCAGCTGAGAATGGGCAGACTGCTGCTGTGGGTGTGTAGGGGCCGTAGGTGGATGGGAGGAGCTACACTTGGGTGTTTGTTGGATGGATCAGCCCTGCCTGTGGGCGCTTGTAGGGCTGGGGTTCAGGAAGCAGGAGGGATGTCTTTGGGTGTCTCACCCTCTGTGGATGGGATGCAAAGTATATGCAGATTGGAGGGTGGAGAGCCAGGGTGGCTGCCGCTCTGGAGTGAGGCATCAGTTCCTTTATTATATTTTTCTTGTAGAATTTCTGCTGTATCGAGGAAAGGCAGACCTTACTGTGTTGGATGAGAACAAGAACACGGCCCTTCACTTAGCTTGTAGCAAGGTACTGCCTGGAGAGTTTGGGCATGCTATGTAAGGGACATGCTGGATGGGGGCGGGTAGGCCTTGGTTGCAGAAAGCACTGGAAGTCGTGATTGTTTAGCCTATCTGACTGGTGGGGCACCTCTTTGCCTACCTGCCACCCTCCCTAACTTGTACCCTGTGGCCTGTCACACTTCTCCTTCACAAGTCTCCACTTTCTGTTCCTCTCCGTCAGGGCCATGAGAAATGTGCCCTCATGATCCTGGCAGAAACCCAAGACCTTGGCCTTATCAATGCTACCAACAGTGCGCTGCAGATGTGAGTGCCCAGGGAAGGGGGCTTCTGGCTGGGGGAGGCAGGTGGGTGAAGAAAGAGTGGCCCCCATTCCAGGGGCTCTCTGGAGCTCACAGTATTTGTTCAGTGCACTTGCCACCCTATCTAAGGGTGGAAGGGCAGTTTGGCATCCCACTGACTTCTTGTTCCTTCTTTTTCCTTTCTTCCAAGGCCACTTCACATTGCTGCCCGGAATGGTCTAGCTTCTGTGGTGCAGGCCTTGCTGAGTCGTGGGGCCACAGTGCTGGCTGTAGATGAAGAAGGTGGGTGGGGTCCAGAGCCCCCCTGCCTCTCCCAGGTTTGGGATCAGGGATATTCTTCTTAATCTTGCAATAACAGAGATTTTCTTCCCAAGGTTGCTCCTCAGAGCAGGCCCCCAACACGAGTACTCTGGACTCTCACAGGGGAGTCTGATGGAACTAGGCGGAGCCAACAGAGTCAGGGAGACCTCCCACATACCCCAGGCTTTTGTCTCCATGCTTTGCCCTTTACCTTGCACTTTGAGAATCTGCCTGTCAGTCTTCCTGGGCCCTCCTCACCCTGGAATTCTGACCATGCTGGGTGCTTACCTGCCTTGGTTTCCCCCTACAGATAAGAGACTTTAGGGCCCGGAGGAGGATGGATGGGGACCCAGGATACAGGACCCTGTGCCTCAGTTCTCTCCCTTGTCCCTGTAGGTCACACCCCAGCACTGGCCTGTGCCCCCAACAAGGACGTGGCAGACTGCCTGGCCTTGATCCTTTCCACCATGAAGCCTTTCCCACCCAAGGACGCCGTCAGTCCTTTCAGCTTCAGCCTGCTCAAGAACTGCGGCATCGCAGCTGCCAAGACGGTGGGTGGCTGCGGTGCCCTGCCCCATGGGGCCTCCTGCCCCTACAGCCAGGAGCGGCATGGCGCCATTGGGTTAGATGGCTGCTACTCTGAGTAGGCCCCTTCCAGTGTCCCTCCCCCTGCCGGTGGCTTGATATCTTATTCTATTTATTTAGAAAAAGTCTAAACATTTAGGGCACTTTAAAGGAGAACACGACTGGGTGGAGGGGGCGGAGGGGGAAAAAGAAGCACTGGGGAGCAGTTGCTCACCCCTTTGCCACACCATCCTGGCCTGGCAGGGGTCTGGGACCGACAGGGAGCACCCCAGGCCCTTGGTACCCCCAGGGCAACCCCTCTGCCAAGTGTCCCAAAATGATTGCTAAATGCCTGGCTCCCCCTCTCTTGACTCCATCTCTCAGTTCCCCCTTCTGCTGCCAGCTCCTCCCACTCTTCCCTCTGACTCTCCTCTCTGTGTCCCCTTTTCCCCAGACCCCTACTGCCAGGCAGAACCCATCCTTCTCTCCCATACCCATCACTGCCTCCCTGCTCGGCCGGCCCCTCCATCCCCGCAGCAGTGAGAAGCCTTAATTTCTGGTACTGTGTGAGCACTCTGGGGGTATCCCCCTCCCCCTTCAGGGGCAGCTAGAGGATGAGGGGGGAGGGTATTTAGCACTGGGGCCTGAAGCTTTTCCCCCACTTCTGTACCCTATCGCCCCTAAAGTTCAAATGCAAAACACTTGAAGCAGCAACTACTGTACCTGGGCCCCAATCCTGTACTCTCCCCTGGCTCCTCATATGCAAATCAAGGGCTGGTTCTGCCCCCGCAGCCTGCCCCATCCCTCTTCCCTCTCACTCCTGGCCTGGCCCCCTAACCACGCACTTTAACCTTGCTTCTTTTAACTTCTTTTGGAAGGGCAGAGCCTGTGGCCATTCCCTCCCTGGCTCTCCTCTCCCTGAACTTTGAGGCTTGTCATGAATTTTTAAGTAAGCATTTTATCCTTTAGGGGAAGAAACAAATTAATTTCCTGCCCATTTCAAAACCACAGTCCTAGTATGTCCTTTGTGTTTCCGGCATGTGTTTGCATGTATTTGGAGAGGGGGACCATGTTCTTTTTCCCGTGCCCCCCAGTCCCATAGTTCCTCTGTGCCCCTGTCTGCCTCCACCTTCCGTTATGTCTGACAGTACCCACTGCCCCTAGTCACTCCTGATCTGAAGCCAAAGATGGTGGGAGGGGCAGGGTAGACAGGGACGGTGGCTACTTGGGACCCAGGCTTCCCCTCCAGTGTGAGGAGGAAACTGATCTAAGGAGAGATGAATAGATACTGAAGCTTGGTCCCTGCCCTCCCAGCAAGGGGGAGAGATGGGATTGAGCTAGGGGCTGCACTGATAAGATTTCTGAAAGTCGCATCCCAAAGCCAAACTGGGCTGGAGTGAGAAGGGGGCAGTTTTCTCTAAATGTAGCATTGAATTTGGCCCTGGTCCCTTTAAATGCTCTGTCCATCCATCTCCTGGTTAATCCTCCTGGACAGTTGGACCCACTCCTGTAGCCCATTGTTCCCTTCCTCACACTCAATACCTCAGCCAGGGGCCAAGACACAGAACTTGAATAGAGGTCATGCCCCCTTCCCCTACAGTGCATCCTTGCCCAGTTTGGCTGCCATCAGTATTGTCCCCTGAAAACTGGACAGGCTTCGTTTACACAGTACAAGGTCTCCCCCTGGGGGATCCCTTGGCCTCCTTCCCCCACTCAAGTTTGCTTTATTCACAGTCTTACCCATTTTTCAGTTGTGTCCCTGAATGTCTTGCCACCCTTGCCAAGGGTAGGCTGAGGGGAGAGGGGCATCCCAGGGATCCCTCCCTCCCTGACAGAGACCCTTAATCATACCTCATGCTGGTTCCCTGAAGCCTGGGGTGTTTGTCAAGTCCTTATTGTTTTCATGGTCCCTTTCTATCCCCTATCTCTGTGTCTTGCTTCTCCCAACCCCCAGTTCCTAAACCATTTCAAGGCTTCCAAATGACCATGTATTGGTGAGAAGGTTTGTGCAGCTTTTAGTTCTTATTTTTGTTTTCAAAGCCAAAGGGCCTTGCGATGCCCCTCTTGCCCACCTCCCTTCACACCTTGTCCTCCCCTTTACGACAATCAATGTGACCTCTCTTAAGGGCTGCAGCCCCCATCCCCCACCCTGCTGGTTCTGCAAAGCTTGCCCCTAACTTTAGTTCTCTCTCCTAAAATATTCCCATTCCACCCCACCTTCTCATCTTGGTGCTGGGAATTAGGTGGTGAGGGGCAAGGGGAGCAGGGAGATGGGTCCTCCGGAGAAGAGACTCGGGGTATCAGTCGTGTTCTCCTTTATTAATGTTTGGCGATGACAGGAAGAGTCTGAGTATTTGTCAGGAGCCCCATTGTCTTGCTAGATGAGATTTCTGGTGGCTGTCTGTTCCCTGCTGCCCCTCAGCACACCGTCAGCAGTGCTGGGGAAGGTGGTGGGGAGTCCTCTGTCCTTCCTCATGTGGCTGTGAGGAGGCTTGGGGACAAGCAGCCTCCTCTCCTTATGCCAAAGGAAACCCCACACCTCACCCTGGGCTCCCCAGCCCCTAGTGTTTTTTTGAAGCATTTTGACCATTCTCATGGCCACTGCATATTTATTTTAATATTAAGATTTTTTTCTTTTAAACCTCTTTGACTTAAACGGGTGTGGTGAAGTAAAACAGGCAGAATGCCCCCCAATCTTAAGGGGGTAGGGTCAGGAGGGAACATCTCCTTCCCTTCGCCCACCTTCTTCCCCTCCCCCTCCCCACCACAGCTCTAAAGCACTTGCTTCAAGTAATAAGCACTTTTGTGAAAAGGCCTATTTTAAGTGAGGACCCTGGGAGCAGCCCAGGTCCCAGCAAAGGAGACAGAGCGAGGGCTACATAGGAGACAGGGAAACAGATGTGTGAATCAGAGGGCGAGATGAAAAGAGCCAGTTTTTAGTTTCTGATTTTTGGGGGGATGTTTCTGATTGGGCGGTGGCTTTGGTAGGGTTGTGTACTATCCTTCAGAAAAACAAACGGCACAAACTGTGGGTCCTAGGATGGACCAACAGACCCGAGTCACTGCCACTGTCCAGCTGAGACTGATGGGCCACCTCCCCTGCCCCGTGGCCCCCTGAGCCATAGGACTGCTAAAAACCACTGAATGTACAGCCCAGGTTGGGGTGGGGAGCAGCCCCTGGGGGAGGGGGCTTCTCCTTTTGTTTGGTGCTGTGGGGGGTGGGAAAGATGAGACTGAGGGACTGCCACCCCATGTAGACGTGTTCCTTGGGATGGAGGGGCTGAGGAGGGCCTTCCTCCCTCTCCAACCCCAGTCGTGGCCCCTCTTCCTTCCTCACCCTATCCGTTTTGACTGTAAGTCCAGCTCACCTTTGCCTTCAATATGTAACCAAAGGAAAACTCAATACTGTTTCCACCGCTGTCTGCCCACCCAGGCACCTTCTTACTCCCTAGACCTGAAAGGGGAGAAGAGGCTGGGGGTAGGGCGGGTGGGGCCAGAGTAAATGGTTCTACGGCTGTACCCCTAAAACCTTCTCTGGGGTCTTGGAAGGGGTCCTGAGAGGTGGGGTTGGGGCCAGGTTGGCGGGGCTAAGAGTAGGCACACTCTATATGTTAGGCACATGAGTGTTTCCTCGTCTAAATGACTCCAATGACTATGCTTCAGCGGGGAGGCCCCTTCCTCCTTCCCTCTTAGCCATTTCTCACCCTCTCCCCATACCCAGTGTTCATCCCTTGCCTCCCCCTCCCACCACAAAGGAAAATAGCCTTACAGACCCTAGCCCAGAAACCCTACTCCTGGGGCAAACCAGTTTGGGCCCCCATCCCACCTAGTTCGAACCCTACCTTTTAAGAAGGAGGGTTAAGGAACAAAGCTGCCCCTTCCCCTCTAATTGTGGTGGCTCCAGCCCTCCATGACCTTGACCCAGGTCGGGCAAGGGCAGGGGTAAGGAATCTTTGAGGACCAAGCCCAGTGGTCTGGGAAGAGGGAAGTAGAAAGGGAAGGGTCTGACTTGGGGACTCTCTCCTCCCAACTCAACCCCTTAGAGAAGCGACCAAATCCCAGAGATGGGAGGAAGCTGGGGTGGGGAGGGTCTGCTCTTTGAATTACTTGAAGGTACTGACTCCAAGGCTGCTGTTGCCCACTTAGGTGTGAGGGGGATGCTGTCACTGCATTTGGGAGGGCAGAGGATGGCAGGTGATGGAGGATCGCCCTTGGCCCTCGTTCACTCCTAAGCCCTTTCTCTGGGGAATCTGGAAGCCTGGCTTTGCCCCCAGAGAAGTCGGGGAGAACCTCCCCTCCCATCTCCACCCCTCACTCTGGGCACCCTCTCCAATTGCACTAAAGTAGCTGTTGTGCCAGTCTTACCCCACACCAGGGGGGGTCTCTGCTTCCAGTCTTTTCCCCCACTGCCTCTGCTCCCATCCCGGACAATCTCCTTGTTCCCCTGGTATTCCTGGATAGCTCAGCTTTGTATGTGTGTGTTTGGGGGGTGGGGGTGGGTTCTGGCTGGAGTGGGTTTGGCAGGGGTTTGGGAAGGGCTAGGGGAAAGATGGAGGGTGAAGTCTCCCATCCCCTTCCCCAACTCTAAGCCGCAGAAGCCTGGGAGGGAGAGTGCCTACTCTTGCTGCCGTGTGTCTTGCAGATGTGCCAAAATCGGGGTGGGTGGGGGGGAGGGTGCCTGGCAGAGCAGCCCCCAGGGTGGCTCTCTCAAAGCAATACAGTTCCCCTGCCTGGGGGACAGCAAGACAGGGGAGAGGGTTGGGGTGGGGACCTGGGTGTTCCCCATGTACAGCTGTGTATATTCAGGGGTGTTCTCTGTCTGGTACCCACTGTGGGCATCTATGTGTGTGTGAACCTCCCCTTCCCCATGCCCTGCATGACCTGTGATGCTGCAGACACCACCATCCTGTGTGCAGGTGTGTGTTGGGGGCCACGGAGGGGCATGTTCCATGTCCTGTTGCACCCTCCACCCTGTGACCCATGTACTCGGTTGTAGGAAGTAAAGAGAACTGAGCACAATTCACTGGATTCTAGTTGAATCTTTCTGTAAGCAATTTACCCATTCCTGCCCTCTCCTTGCCCTGGATCCACCTGTGGTGCTAGTGTTGGGGTTGGGGGTGTTTAATGCTGGTGGGCAGCAATAAAGGGCAGATCTGCCCAGTCCTGCATCCCCAGGGTGCTGAGGGCAGCAGGAAAAAGTGGGGACCTCAGTGCATTTGCCCCGCCCCTCCCCCTCCTCCCTGACCTAAAGCACAATGCTCTCCCTGCAGACTGATGCACCCTGCACCCTCCAGGCCCCTACTTACGTCCTCCCCAACCTGCTTTGAGTCCTCCCACCACACCCTGGTTTTCTATGCTGTTTTGGTGCAAGTACAACTGTCATAGTCATGGCTTTGGGATGGGTTCTGTTTATTAAAATCCTATTGCTCCTACTGGCCCTGTGTCCCGCCTCCTTTCCTGTGGTTGGGGGGAAGGAAGGGCAACCTGGACCCCTCTCCACTGGCCCCGTCAGCCATCAGAGACCAGGGGCAATAGCTGCTCCTCCAGCAGTGCTATGGTAAGCATGAGGCTGCCCCCCAGCAGCAGCCCCAGCCCCTGCAGTAGCACATGAAGCATAGGTAGGGGCTCAGGAGGACGAAGCAGGGCTGGTAGCTGAAAGAAAAGAAGGATGTCAGGATTCTGGCCTTGTTTCTGACCTCTAAACACGGGAGGGAGGGCATCAGAAAGTCTCAGCAGCCCCCACCCAGACACTTTCAGTCCCTCATTTCTCAGACTCTTGCAGGAGCTGGTGGTGAAGGTGAAAGGACCGATACCTCCCTCTCCTCCACACCCACCTCCCCACTTCCCTTGGTTTCTCTGCTCTACCCCACACGTCTTACCATGTCCACAAGGGCCACATAGAGGAAGACCCCGGCAGTGATCCCAAATACCCAGGGAGTGAGGGGGACCGGGCCCAAGCTGAGCCCCACCCCCAGGGCGGCACCCCCCAGTCCCAGGGCTCCAGACACCAGGCTCAGCAGCAGCAGCCGCCGAAAAGGCAGCCCTGCCTGGAGTAGCATTGCGAAGTCACCTGTTGGGGAGAGGACAGGAAAGAAGGGAATAAGCCAGGGCTGCCCCTCACCCATGTCACCTGCCAGCCTCCAGGTTCTACCCCTTGGAGGGATCTGCTTGCTGGAGCCCACCCCACCCCACTTCTGCCATTCCTACCCAGTTCGTGGGGCAGCTCATGGCAGAAGACTGCTAGGGTGGTGCTGAGGCCGCTAGAGAAGCCGTCAGAGAAGGCAGCACCTGGGTTCCGCAGGAACAGAGGTGGTTAGTCCAGAAGAAAGTCTCCGCAGGAGCACGCTCCTGCCTTCCCTCTGTAGTTCTCCCATCCTCTCCCCACCCTTCTGGCAGCCCTCTCCTAGGAGCCCTAGCCTGTCCCCAGACCTGCCTCCCTCCGTTCCCTCCCTGCACACCTATGGCCAGCCCATCAGTAAGGTTGTGTAGACCATCTCCCAGGAGGACCATCCATGTGATGTTGGTGTCACCTTGGTGTCCATGACTGTGGCCTTGGTGCCCAGAAGGGGCTGGGGCTGGTGGGGGCTGGCTGTCTTCCTTCTGGCCCTGAGCCTCTGGCTCTACAGGAAGAAGGACAAGGACACTGTTGGTGACTGCAAGTGAGGACTATGAGCTGGGAACCTAGTCTTCATTTTTTCTCCTAGTCACCTGGAGCTGCCTGTAGGGGCTGAAGGACCATCCCACTGCCATCCTCTGGGTCCAGGTTTGGTGTTGCGAGATCCCTGCTTTGACGCCTGCAGCATCTCTGAAATAGGAGGGTATCCCTCCTGGTGGAGGAGGCACCAGAGCCAGGGGCTAAGGGGAAGCCAGGCCACAAGCTGGGAAAATGAACACCTGCTTCCACCTCTGGCACCTGGGATGTTCTTTGGCCTCTACCCTTTTCCCAGGCTGGCACCTTCCTCTGTTTCTTGACTTGAACTCCGAAGAGGAGGCCATTTGGCCAGAAGTCCTGCATCTGTGCTTAAGGATCCCCTCCCCATTCCCTGTTAGCTGATAGGTCCTGCACAGTCAGGCAAACATCAGAGATCCAGGAGCACACGCTGCCCCTCACCTCCTGGCTTGTTTGGCCTGTTCTTGGATAAGACTCTGGTCTTGGCAGAAGGAAGAGAAAAGGGTGTCACTCACTGGCCTGAGCCCTCGGTGCCGCAAAAGCCCTAGCATATTCTCCAGCACGAAGAGCAGGAAGAGGCCTCCGAGCACCAATAGCCCTGGACTCAGGTCCTCTTCTGGTCGCCCGCTAGGTCCTGCGTGCTGCCCCTCTTGTACCTAACAGAGAGGAGGTCAGGGCAGAACCCAGGAGCTCCTACACCCAACAATATCCCCCTCCCTTGTGGGAGGTGTCAAGCCTTCACTCATACACTCTACTGGAATGCAGCTGTGGGCTGAAAGCAGGGGTGGAGGAATTGGCTTATGGGAGCTGACAGAAAGGGGGAGGCAATGCCCTGTGGCTGGGGACACCTTGGGTCTATGGAGGCCATCTGCCACTGGGGACAGGGGTACAAGGAAGGGGCTTCACATACGTGAGGCAGCAGGTGTAGCAGTGCATCCCCACAAAGAGTGCCCACGGCCAGGGCACCCAGGAAGCCCAGCAGGGGCCGCAATAGACGAGGTCCCAGGAGCCGCAGCAACAGCAGGGAGAGGGGAGCAGGGAGACTGAGCAACAGGACTGCCAGGGCGCTATGAAGCAGGGCTGGGGAGAATTGGGCTGAAGTTAGGTCAAGGCTGGAGAGCGGGCCCAGAGGGAAAGTGGGGCAGAGATGTGCTGCAAGGACAGGCAGGACCCCAATGAACCCCCTTCCCTGGCATGGCCCCACTCCTACGAGGATTCAGGGTGCCCCCACCCACTCCTACTCACTGACCAGATAGTAGATTCACTGGGGGTGCAGGGGTTGGGGCTTGGATGCAGACACGGCTGTCGATCTGATAAAGCAGGGCTGGGCACAGCAGAGCAAACTGACGAGGGGTCAGAGGAGCAGCAGGGCTCAGGCCAAAGTTTACCAGCAGCTGAGAGCCGTTCAGACACTAGGGGAGTCGAGTTGAGGGTCACACATTGGGGAATCACTCAGAACTATGAGATCATTAACATCTGTCCCTCCATTGCATGGACTCTTGGGTCTCCCCGAGGGTCTCCTTTGCTCACACTGGCAGGTGCAGCGGGGACTGAGGGGCAAGGTACTTAAAATCAATGTGTGTTAATTATTAGTGAATATTCAATCCGATGCATATATTCAATTCAGTGCAAATTGAGTGCTGGTGAACATTGCCATCATTTCCCTCCCTCTCAAGCCCTGATCATTTTGTGGATTTGGTGATGGAGGTGGTTGGACAACTGGAGCTCTGCATGCCAGAATCTTAGAAGTGAAAAGAACCTGGAAAGTTATCCAACTTTCCTCTTAATAGCTCCATCACACGTTCATCCAGCCTTGGCTTGAATGCTTCCTGCAAGATAGGGTACCCACTGGGCCTACTTTAGGGTTAGGCAGCTTTGTCTACCCTCTGGTGTACGTGGAACAAGTTCACTGTCTTTCTAGATGAAGACAGCTGTCTTCTCCCTGCAGCTCTTGTCCCCTGATAACCATCCCCAGATCCTACTTGGGCTAGTTCTCTGGATTCTTTGCTTTGCCAAGTGTGGCCCTAAACTGGGTCTTGGCTTACTTGCTCTGAGCCCAGAGGGAACATATTTCACTATTGGAATAACATATCTTAAGACCACATTGGGATTTTTTTAAAGTGACTATTAAATTACTGACTCTTTAAACATTTCAGGCCATCTAATCCCATGGCTCCTTCCCCCTCTCTAGAGACCATGAGACTCACATCCTCATTCAGATGGTCAGCCAATGAGTGGTCCAGCAGCAGAAGCCTGTGAAAGAGGTCCAGGCCCGAGGGGGCTGGCCCATGGGGTAGGTGGGGGGCCTTTGACTCCTCCAGACCACCCCACCCTGAGGGACCCAGAGGCATCCCTGCCCAGACATCCACACTCAGCTCAGGGTCCCGTGGCCTGGAACGGATGGGATAGCAAGTCAGACTCACTCCTGTTATCTCAGAAACCCACCTTGAGACGTTCCCAGGGAGCTTAGGGGAAAAGGGAGGACCAGCCACTGGCTGGAGTTCCTGAGACCCAGAAGTCATGGAATGTATGTCCTAGGAAGATCCGAGAATTGTCGATTTATAGGAAAGTCTAGGAATGGGGGCTGTGGGAGTGACAGAAAACAAAAGAAGGACAGACAAAAGTACTATGAATTGGAAGTCAAGTCAGCCTGGAGACATTTAGCATTGGGACTAACAGCAAGAAATTTAAGGGCCTAGGGATTTGGAGGAGGAGAGAATTTGAAGGCCATAGATGCAAGAAGGGCCCTGCACAGACACCAGGGAGTTGGGTTCTGAAGAATTTGTAACTCCAAGGGTCTCATTTTAGGAAGCCAGAAATAGGCAACTGGAGAGTGATCTAAGCTCTGAGATGAGCTGGAGGATGAGGCACTGTGGGGTGGGGCAAGGGGTTAGTACCTGTGTGTGGAATTGTCTGAGGCTGGGTGTGTGGCCCGCCCAGTCTGAGGCCCATGGTGTCCCAGGCGAAGCCCCTGAACTCGGCCTAGCCCTAGGCTGTGGAGAAGCCGAGCGAGGCCCCCTGCGGTCAGCGTCCCATTCTCTCCATACAGGCCAAACAGTTGGGCCAGGTAATGATTCTGCTCCTGCTCTGCAGGGCCCAGGTTGGGGACTGAGCCCCCTACCCAGCCCAAGACCACCCCCACACAGAGACCAGCCAGCAGATGACTCATTGGGGGCCCCTTCATTGCAGGGAATGGCTTCGAGGCTCTGGTTCCAACTGCTATTATCCCCAGTACATCCTGAGGATTGTGCCCTGGAAGAACAAGGTCGATTGGGTTGAAGCTACTGCTCTGCTGTACTGCTCAGGCCAGGCGAGAACGGCCACTCCTGTACCTGCCCCCACCTGAGTCCAACAGCAGCCCCCACTCAAGCCTCCTCCCTCCCCATTGTCTCCTGGAGCAGCCTCTCCTTTGCTAGTTCCTAGAGCACCTCCCTGACCCGGAGCTGACCATCCATCCCCTGTCTTCCAAAACCCACCCCGCAACCCTGTCCCACCTCTCTCTCCCCACTCAATCCCCAGGGCCTCACCCCACTGGCAAAAATTGTGAGAGCAGTCACCTCAGGTCCCCCGTCAGGCCTTGCTGTGATGTTAAGCTTCCTGAGTCAGAGAGGGGGGAATCCAGGCTCAGCCTCCCGGTGCCCAGGTGGAATGGAGGCCACGTCATATAGAAGGCTGAGATGGACAAGCCCCCCCCTCCCAGCCCACTAGCCTTGGGGCGGGGTCAGGGGTGGGGCCAGTGTGGGAAGGCTCACATCAGAGAGGAGTTAATGGTTCACTGGTCTCTGGGGTGGGGGTCAAAGGTCAGTCTCTGCTGGGCCCCCAAGTAGGGAGGGGCTACCCTCTGCCCCTGGGAAAGCCACATGGCTAAGGAAAACTTGGGCCTGTTTTTTTCTCTTAAATAATTCACCCCACTCCTAACCCGGTTAGTACCATTTTAGCCTTTTCCTGCATATGCTGCCACCCCACCTACCTAACATCTGGCACTGAACTTCATCTCCAACCCCCATCCCCATGTTCCCTGGGAAAGTTGGACCCAAATGTCCCTACACTAGGGAGAAGGGGGAAGGAGCACATTAAGTGGCAAGCCCAGACGCATGCATGGGAAAGAAACTGTTCTCAGCGATTTCTCACCCCAAGACGACTGAGAGTCAGAGCTCTAGAAATCAATGACCAAGAAAGGGGAAGCCCTGGTGGGGAGAGGAAACAAGTATTGGGGCTCCCCTCAGATGTCTGACCTGGCCTGAGATCAGGCAAGCAAAGTCTGATTGGGGTGATTAGTCCAGGGGGTTGAGGTTGGCATTACCTGACAGTGGGAGACAGGAAGGACACCCAGAGGAAGGGGGACACAGCCTTCTTGGTTCTAGCTGGGGGGGGAGGCAGGCAGGCGGGCAAGGGTCATCTGCAGGGAGAGGGCAGGGGAGGGACACTACCTTAAAGGGGCAGGTCTGCTTTGCCTAGGCCTCCTTACCTGTAACCTGTCTTCCCTCCACCTCCTAGGGACACCCTGCCTTCCCAAATGCCCAGCTGCTAACCTCTTTCTTTTTCCACAAAAAGCAAAGGAGTCCAGTACAGAGTGGTAACATTTATTAGGAAGGAGGGATTTCAATTAAACCCCCATTTCACACACAGAAGAAACAGACTGTAATTGTTGTTTCTAAAGAGGAAGGAAGGCAGGCAGAGGGTCCTGAATCCCAAGGGACAGGCAGCTTTAGCTGAGTGGATAAGGCCACTGCTCACCACCCCTCCAGTAAAGTTTAGTGGCTAAAATACTTCTCCCCCCACCCTAATCCCAAAGCCGGTAGAAGGCTGTCTTGCTCTCTGGCAGAGACACTTGGATATGGTTGCTGGCGGGAAAGGAGGAAGAATGTCATGCTATCTCTTGCTGCTCCTCCGGGTTTCTTTGCCGTTACTAACAGGGTTGCTGGAGGGGCCAGGAGGGCCTGCAGGTGTGTGGTTGGGCTGGCTTCGAGTGATTCGGGTGCTAGGGGGGTGGGAGGGAGTGTGAGGGGGATGCGGGCCACCACCAGGACCTGGTGGAGCACTCAGTCCATTCCCGTTCTGGCTCTCAGAGGCTAGTTGTGGGAGAAGATGAAGAAACACAGAAATTAGAGAGTTAAAGTAGGAGAGGGGTCCATCCCAAGGCCAACCTCCATGCCCCAGAGAGTGGCACAGTCTTCACCATGCACGACTGCACACATTAATTCCAACTGGACCAAGTGCAAAAGAATGTGGGTTGGGAGTATGAATGAAGCCCCAGAGAAGATTCAAATAATCATTTTGAAAATTGCTACATGCACTCTATTTTTTTTTTCTTTCTTTTCTTTTTTTTTATGGACTCTGGTATGATATTTTTCTCTCTTACTCATCTCTGTATCATTGGGAGTCAGACTTAGAATTAGTTGTTTAGTTCTAGGCTCAAGGACCTCTGAAAAATGCCTCTTTATCAAAAGTGATTGTAAAACTGGAGAAGAGGCTGGGCGCGGTGGCTCACGCCTGTAATCCTAGCTCTCTGGGAGGCCAAGGCGGGCGGATTGTTTGAGCTCAGGAATCCGAAACCAGCCTGAGCAAGAGCAAGACCCCATCTCTACTAAAATTAGAAAGAAATTAACTGGACAACTAAAAATATATAGAAAAAATTAGCCGGGCATGGTGGCGCATGCCTGTAGTCCCAGCTACTCGGGAGGCTGGGGCAGTAGGATCACTTGAGCCCAGGAGTTTGAGGTTGCTGTGAGCTAGGCTGACGCCACGGCACTCTAGCCCGGGCAACACAGTGAGACTCTGTCTCAAAAAAAAAAAAAAAAAAGAAAATATAGATAAGAATAAGCAAAAAGATTATTATACAGAATCTTAACCTGTAAAGATAATAACAAGTTTGTACATATTTTAAATGTGTGATTGGAGTTAGGTGTGTGCAATGACTTCCTTGAGCTCCCATAACTCTGTGCATATCACTATCATTGCACTTACCACAGTGTATTATAGTCCTTATTTGTACGTCTGTCTCCTGCATAGACAATCAGCCCCTCTGGCAGGTGCTGTTTTATTTCTTGGCACATAGTAGGTGCTCTATAAACATTTGTTAAATGAAGGCAGAGGCCCGTCCCTCACATACATAAGGCACTATGAACCCTAAATGGCATAGAAGTTATAGGTTAATGGTTCTTAAACCATATTCCTACTGGACTAAGATATCTATAACCAAAACTAAAGAATAATGCCCTTTCTCAATTCACAGAAGGAGTTAGGTGAATGTATAGAAGTCAATGTTAAGTTTTTATATCATATATTTTGTACCTGTCAGCAGATGACAAAGTGAATAAACATGTGGTAAATAAGTATTAGGGGCAAACAGGCTTAGATGTGCCTTATTAAAGATCTTTTTGTAAATTATGGAGTCATGGAAACCTGAAAATATTTAATAGTCATATATTCCGTTGGAAATGTGGATGCTAATTTTTTTTCCCCACTCACTCACTCACTCACTGAGTCACTCTCTCAATGTTAATTTTTGTGGTGGAATTAAATGTTGTTATTTTGTAGTTATATTAGGGTTCTCTAGAGAGCCAGAACCAGTGGGAGACATACACACACACACACACACACACACACGCGCACGCGTAAAAATATTTACATTTAAATTTAAATATATAATGGGATTTATTATAAGGAATTTATACAAATTTTATTTTTTATTTTTACTTTTTTTTAGAGATAGGGTCTCATTCTGTCACCCAGGCTGGAGCGAAGTGGCATGATCATAGCTCATTGTAACTTCAAACTCCTGGGCTCAAGCGATGCTCCTACCTCAGCCTTCTGAGTAGTAATTGGGACCATGCATCACCACGCCCAGTTACTTTTTTTATTAAAAAAATTTTTTTTGTAGAGATAGGGTCTCTCTATGTTCCTCAGGCTGGTCTCAAACTCTTGGCCTCAAGAGATCCTCTAGCCTCACCTTCCAAAGTGCTGAGATTACAGGCATGAGCCACCATGTCCAGCCCAAAAATATTTTTAATAAGGTACATTTAAGCCTGTTTGCCCCTAATATTTATTTGGCACATGTAGAGAAATTTTTCTCCTTTTTGCCTTTGAGGAGCAGTGGCAAAAGGGTACCCAAGCTCTGTCAGTGACTGAAACAGGTTCCCAAATTTTCTCACCGCAGGTACTTGCAAAAGGTATCAAAAATGAGGGGACTGGGAGAATTGCTTGGTGGAGTTTATATCCCAAGAGAAGACAGATTTGGAAAAGGGATGAAGGAAGTGTATCTTTCCAGGCTGGGGAGAGTGGCAGAGCTAGGAGGATCAGTGAATGGAAGGGAATAGATTTACCTGGAGAAGCGGCTGGGGGTCCAGTGGTAGGCTGGGGAGTTGTAGGGCTGCTGTCGTTCTGTACCTAAGGGCACAGATTACATACTCAGACTCTGCTCCCTACCATGTTTCTTGGCCTGACCCGCCCTCCTTCCCCAACATAGTGGTCTTGGACTCACCGCCTTGTTGGGTGCCTGCTGGGTGCTGTACTCTGGGTTTGGCTCACTGAAGTTAGGAACCTCAGAATAAACCATACAGAATCTGCAAGGGGTGAAAGTAGCTAAAGCCTTGGACCCATCCCCTGGACCACTGCTGGAGGCCTCAGAACGGTCCAGAAACAGAGCATGGACTGCACACCCTTATACTGCCTCCTTGCAAACCTTAACTTTTGCCCCTTGGGCTGGTGCTGCTTCATCCCAATCCCCAAGACAGCACTTACTCCCCAATCTTCTGCAGATCACCCCCACGGCCAGTGTACAGTGTCAGACAACCTTTGAACACTGAAGCATACCTGTGGGGGCAAAAAAAGCAAGATTCAGAGTACTCAGAAGAGTTATAGGGAATGTTAACCCCACCCCCCTTGATTGTTGTTGCCCTTGGAAAGCCAGGAGTCACCAGCTGGCTTACCCTTTGGTGAGCCGGATAATGTCCCCAGGCTGGATCAGGTTGCCCACGTCGTCCCAGACGGAAATATTGATGCTGCCCGTTTTGTCTGCTACTTTGCAGGTCCGAACTTCGTGACCGTCCTTTGTCTTGGTCACTCGGCCTGAAGGGAAGAGATAAATAGGGGTGGGAGGATGGTCAAATAGATGGGGTGGTGGCGGTCAGAGGGATGAGATCTGGATATTGGCGGGGTGAGGGAAAAGGTGTACAAACAGGCCGGGTGTGGTGGCTCACGCCTGTAATCCTAGCACTCTGGGAGGCTGAGGCGGGTGGATCATTTGAGCTCAGGAGTTTGAGACCAGCCTGACTTTTTTCAGTCTCTACTGAAAAAACAGAAAGAAATTAGCTGGACAACTAAAAAAAAAAATATATATATATATATATAAATTAGCCGGGAATGGTGGCACATGCCTGTAGTCCCAGCTACCCAGGAGGCTGAGGCAGGAGGATCACTTGAGCCCAGGAGTTTGAGGTTGCTGTGAGCTAGGCTGACGCTACGGCACTCTAGCCCAGGCAACAGAGCGAGACTCTGCCTCCAGAAAAAAAAAAAAAGTGTACAGAGCAAAGCCTAAATCCCTGGGGCATGCGGGGTTGGGGGTGGGGTTGGTAATGGAGGAGCCAGCACCATGGAGAGGGCCCCTGAGTGGAAAGAGGCCTGCGTGGCACTGAAGCCATGGATCTGGCAAGAGTTCTATCTACCCTATACCCGAATGCAGCTGTGTGTGCCAAGGTCTAAGAGAGAGAGAGAGATCGGGAGTGACAGGTGTCTTGGGACATGACCTGCCATGCCTGGAGCAAATTCAGAGCTCAGGCAGTGTTCTCCCCCTCCCGCTCCCCACCCCCAGTGCACGAACCCACCGCGCCAGCATAGCCACCTGTCTCCAGCACAATGAAGATAAGGTTCAGATTCTTGAGCCCAGGCTTGATATCCTTCACAAAGGTCTCCGTCGTCATGCTGCCCGAGCCTCTGCACCCCACTGGAAGGGGGAACAGGGAATGAAGGCTCAACGCTCGGAGCCTTTGCTCCCATGCTCTACTTCCTAAGGCCTACCTACCGCACCAGGCTGGGGTCAGGCAGCCTCAACCCCTCTAACCCTTCTAAAAGGTTAGAAATTAACTTTCCCAGGGGCCTCCAACTTCAGGATCAGAATTTGAGGGTCTCTGGACAGTCTGCTTCGGGGCTGGAAGGCCCCCTGCCGGGATGCTCTTTCAATCTCAAGCCCCGTAGTGGGGGAGCCGATGGAGACAGGGGTAGGGAATCCGGTGCAAAGCTAGGGAATAGAATCTTACTGGCCAAACCTTCCCGAACCCTGATCGGGACAACCCGGGACTTGGCCCATCCCCTCCCCTACCCACAGCCCACCACCCACCCAGCCAGCCGGCCCGACTGTGCACGCCGCTGAACCGCCCGCAGGGGGAGCCACAGGCCCCGCTACCACCGGATGCTGCCCGATGGAACGCGGGAATGCAGACATTCCCGGAAGTTTCCCCCCGGCTGGCCTCCCCCGGCCAATCAGCACCGTCCGGACGCGCCCAGCGTTCTGTCGCTTGCCCCGCCCAGCCAATCGGGATCCGAGACTCGGGCGCCGCGACGGGGGCGAATTTCAGGTATTAAAGGAACCTCGGAGGTAGTTGGATCCGCAGGGAGGAGTGGAGGGAAGAACCACCACAAGGAGGCGCCCAAGGCCCTAATTTTCCTTGTCTTGGCTCAGAGAATGCATTTAGGCCATTTCTCTCCAAGGAGTGACACAGTAGAAAAAGGACCAAAGGCTTTGGAATATGACAAAGTTTGAACCCCGGCTCAGAGCTTCCCTTCCTTTCTCCACAATTCTTAAGTTATATAAAAAGCAGTGCCTAGCACACAATGGGCACTTATAAAAACATTTCCTCCTCTTCTTCCACTATCCTATCCCTCATCTTTAATGCACTACCCAGCTCCCTCAGGGCCTCTGGGAAAAGTGACATCCACACAAGAGACAATAGGCTGACTAACCCCCTTTGGGAGAAATGGAACCCGAGGCATAAAGAACATTTGCATTAGCCCCTCTCATAGTTTGTTTGTAAGACCTGTTCCTACTACTCTTATCTCGGTAGATCTGAGTTCCCCCAGAGGACGGAAACTTTAGTTCCCTTTGGGACCTGTCAGATTGTCAACAAAAGGTAGCTAGCTCTGTACTGTTGTGTATAAACCAATTACATAAAGATATACTAATGTGCATTACCATTTGCTTAGCGAATACTATTTAATACCAGATTAGACTAAGAGGTCATGTAACTGTAATGCTTTGGCTTGCTTAATCCCTTACCTTCTCATAGAGCCTTTCAGCTCCACCTTGGCTTCCCTTGGATCTCAGGGAAGGATCTCCCGTCCACACCCCCCAACCACAGTGTTGTAAGATAAGGAAATCAAACCACAACCCAGGAAGGACATTTTTCTCTTCCTTCTCTCCTCTTAGGTGTTTCAGGGAACTCTACTGAGTGTTCGGGGAGCCATCGTGGATACGGCAGGAGTGCAGCTGGCAGAAAGGCAGACAACGTATTGAGCACCCCAGATCTATGCTTTGTGGTCAGACACTCCCTCGCTTCCCACACCGCGGCCGCCTCGTTAACTGCAGTATCCATTCCCATGACTAGGAGTCATAAGGTCAGGAGGCTCTAGGATGCTGACCACGGCTCTGGAAACGGGAGAGGGGCCAGGCAGACGGCCGGTCACACTGCAGGCCAGCCTCCCCGCGACGATTTCGCACCACTCCACATCAGCTCTAGGACAAGACACGTGCGCCTCTCCAAAGGGAAATGTTGCCTTCCAGGGAGTCAGCCCCAGGCTCAGACGCTGACATTCACGCAGGGAAAAACATAGAGTTCTCCCTCCCAAATGGCTATATAGTCCTGGCTGAGACCATAAAGACTTCCGGTCTAGCGTGGAGGCCCGGCTAGCCTTCGTCCCTCCTCGTTGGACGCTAGTGGCTGCTAGTCTAAGTCTGAATTAAACAAAGAGGCGGAGTTTGGTGACGAGCTTCCGCCGGGTTGCGTAGCAGCAGTGGGCGGGGCAAAGGATCTATCGGAGACGGCGACAAGTGGTCGGAATCTTCTTTCCCCTCCTTCCCCTACCCCTTCCCTTCCCAGGAAAGGCTGAGATCCGGCACCGGCGCCGTCCCGTGGCCGCTGCGGCTTCAGCTCCCACCAGGCCAGGGTACGGAGAGTCCAGGCTGCGTCCGGGCGGTGCGTACTGCGCCTGCGCAGGCTTCCACCTAAAAGAGGGTGTGGGAGGGGAGAGGGTGATGTCCCAGGGGGATTGGGGTGGGGGTTCGAGATACTGGGATTCACGAGGAGGGATAGGAGTAAAGATGAAAATGGGAGAAGGGAGCAGCCCTGGAGAGGAGTCAGGAGGTGAGAAGGGGGCTCTGGAGGATGGGTTGTTGGGGAAGGTCCGTTGGAGTAGGGGAGTCTTGAGAAGTGCGGGAGGGGGCTTGGGCTGGCTGGAGGACAGGGAGCAGCGGACCTGGGGGAACAACGTAGTATTTAAATAGGCCATGACTGACGGGCCAGGAGGGGAAGAAGGGAACATTCCCGGGACCAGCCTGGGCAGTGGTGGCGGAACTTGAACCCCCGCCCTCAAAGCGCCATAGCTTGGCTCCTCTCCCATGCCTTGTCTTTGGCAGCCTTGTCCTTCTCTTTCATTCCTTCCCCAATCCTCTCCGCCTCCCAGCCCTCCATGAAGAAATCTCACATTCCTCACATCCCTGCCCTTGATTTGCAGCCCGGTCCTCTCGCACGCTTCACACACCACACACCGGAAAGCCTCGGAAAGCCTTCCTCAAGCCCGGACTCAGGGAAATCGGGAATGGGGAGTGGGGGGCCAGAGAAAGAGCAGAAAGCCAAGGAGGGTGAGAGAGTTTTGCCTGAGGGATTGATAGACACCTTCCCCATTCAGAAACTGATTTCATTTCACCTAATAGCAAATGTGGCTGTTAATGAGGCCACTGTTCTTGGGGACTGGCCTGTGATAGTCTTATCCCTTTCTATATACGGATGGCTTTAGAGTCTGACAAACAGGGCAAGGGGCTGATAGTGTTGCTGGCTGATAGTTTTCCCCCAAATAGAAATGGGGTGCACTACTGGTAGGGAATGTGAGTGATGCAGTGTTATTACCTTTTGTGTCCAGCCGACCTGTGTCTGGGCTTGGTTCCCAGTAATTGAAAAGAAGGAACAGCGTCCTTCAAGCATTTGTTCTCTAGCCCTCAGTACTCTAAATTTATTTTGCATCCTGTTGCTACAAATAATACCTTATCTGAGGATAGCAGTATCCACTATGCTTTCACATTTGTTATATCACATTTGATTTGCAGGACAATATGTATAAAGTGAGTGTGTGTGTATATACATACACACACACAAGATACATAGATAACCCATACCATTTACCCTATTTGTTGGTTGGTGACAGAGCTAGGACCAGAACCCAGGCCTCCTCACTCATGGTCTTCCGCTCAGTTGAAAAATCCTATTTTGTTTTGGCCAAGGGGGCATTGAAGTAGGATTGGTCTTTCCAGCATATGCAACTATTTGCTTTCTGAATCTTGTTACAAAAGGAGACTGACCATAGCCAACAGCACTGGTTCCTGGAAGCATTTATTGAGGTACAGGTGCATATGCCAGGGTGTTGGGAAATGGGGTGTTATTAAAATGAAGGAAGCGTTATACCCTCCTTTGTATTATGGGTGAGAAAGGAGGAGTAGTGGAGAGAAACATATCAACCCTTGCCCCAACCACAGGGAAGAAAAAGTGCCTGGCATTGCACTTTAGTGTCTGATTTTTTTTTTTTTTTTGAGAGTCTCACTCTCTCCTCTGGGCTAAAATGCTGTGGCATCAGCCTAGCTCACAGCAACCTCAAACTCCTGTGCTCAAGCAATCCTCCTGCCTTAGCCTCCCACATAGCTGGGACGAGGTCTCACTCTTGTTCAGGCTGGTCTCGAACTCCTGAGCTCAAGCAATCCTCCCACCTTGGCCTCCCAGAGTGCTAAGATTACAGATGTGAGCCACCATGCCCAGCCAATTTTTAAACTGGTGTTTTAGTTTAAAAATACCATGCTAAACACATTGTGGCTGATGAGCATAGCAAACTGATGAGCATATATACCAGACTCAGAAGATGAAATGGTCTCTGTTTTATGTGTAATAGTCATTATTCTATGCCTTCCTAACATGGCCCTTAAACAATTGATAAACATGTACTAGTCAGGAAAGGATTTTGAATAGTTGCCATTCTTCTGTATATAGTTCAATAGATCTCTCAGCACCCTTCATCTGAAGCCTTGTCTTCCTCTGTTTAGTTCTATCCAAATAGTGATGAGTCTGGTCAGCCTAATCTTTCCTGCTATCTCTATCCTTCATAGTTGCTCACCCTGGAATAATTTCCTCACTCACTGCCTGTTCATTTTTTTTTTTCCTAAGCCTGATCCCTGACTTGTCAGTAGAGTTGCCACCTGTAACAACATCCAACAATCTTGAGCATCTTCTCCTCATGAAATAGTATTTTCCGGTTGGAAGGTAGGACCAGAATTTTTTTTTTTTTTTTTTGAGACAGGGTCTCACTCTGTCGCCAGGGCTAGAGTGTGGTAGCATCATCGTAGCTCACTGCAACCTCCAGGGCTCGAGCGATCCTCCTGCCTCAGCCTCCCAAGTAGCTGGGACTATAGGTGCAGAATTCTTTTTACATGAAATAATTTATGTAAAAGCACTTTGGAAACATTAAAGCATCATAGTGTACATGTAAGATATTATTGATCTCTGCATTTTGTAGCCACAGATTTGGAATCATTGACATCACTTGTAGTTATGTGCACTGAGTAAAAGAATCTTTTTTATCTCCAACAGCTCCTCTTCTCTGCCTTTCTTCTTGTCCTTTTCTTTCCCCTTCCCAGCTATGTTTGAATCTTCTGGACCATGTGTGTGACTCCTTAGCCATTGATTTCCTTCCTTAGAGTCCTGTACGCCTCGCACTGAATCCTGTAGCACTTAATGGAGTTGTTTATTCTCCCCAAGTCTGTCCCGTCTAATTGCCAAATGGAGGTAGTTCCCCTGACTTACCTTTCTCTTCCTTGTTCCTATTAATAGAGTGCTGCTGATTGTGACATCACGTCCATCCCCTTGGCAATGGAGCTTATCACTAGGAAGGAAGACCCAGTCGGAGAGTAGCCAACAAGATGGGTTGCGGGGAGCATCTCCTGAGTGGCACTGAGTGGAGGCATCAGGGGGTTGGAGCCTTGTGAACAGGGAGCCTGCCCCCCAACACTCGGAAGGTAAAGAGCCTCGATCCAAAATCTCATTCCAGGCTTCATCCTTCTTCTCGATAAATCAGAGTTCCTTCTGCCCTTGAAAGCCTGATTCTTAAAACTCCTTTCTGCAGAAAGCTTTCTGTAATTTACCCATACCATCCTGTTCTTTTTTGCATATTTATGTCTTACATTAATTATTAACTTTTACGTGTTTGTAAGTTGCTTAGTAAGTTTTATGTCTTTTTATGTGTTTTTAATCCTGTGTACTCCTTAGGCTCAAGTCTACACCTTACTTTGAGGACAAGGATTGTGTTTTCCCTTTCTTCTTTATATCTTTACTGGTAAGGAGATTATGTATTTAGGATGATGAAGTTTAAGGTAACCATACAAATGGTGCTTGATGCTGGTGACCAATTGGGAGGTCATTGCTGGCCTTTGAAGCCTGGCAGGCCTCCCTTTAGGCATTAGATGAGTTCTTGAAGAATTGTCTGCCTTCTGGATTCCTTTGTAAATTGAATCAATTAAAATGTACTAAACATGCCTAACTTTAAAATCCCCTATAGTGAATCTTGTATGGATCACAGCATTCTGGAATTAAATAGAACCTTAGAATTCCTCCTCTCACAAGTGAGGAAACTGAGTTCCTAAGAGGGGAAATGATTTCACTTTAAAGAGTCTACTGCTTAAGTAAAAAAGACCATTTCTTTTCATTTAAAAAGTCAAGAGAATTGCCTCAAGAGAGCAAGGTCAGTTAGTGGTAATGCCAAGGTACGTTTTAACATAATTACCCTCTGATTTTCCTATTTTTTTTTTTTTTGAGACAGAGTCTTGTTCTGTTGCCCAGGTTAGAGTGCCATGGCGTCAGCCTAGCTCACAGCAACCTCAAACTCCTGGGCTCAAGCGATCCTTCTGCCTCAGCCTCCCAAGTAGCTGGGACTACAGGCATGTGCCACCATGCCCGGCTAATTTTTTATATATATATTTTTAGTTGTCCAGATCATTTCTTTCTGTTTTTTTAGTAGAGACGGGGTCTCGCTCTTGCTCAGGCTGGTCTCGAACTCCTGACCTTGAGCAATCCACCCGCCTCGGCCTCCCAGAGTGCTAGGATTACAGGCATGAGCCACCGCACCCTGCCCCTATTTTTGTTTTTTATGCCCAATCTTAGAATCATAGAACTTGTAGAACACTTTATTTATTTGTAGACAGAGTCTTGCTCTGTGGCCCTGGGCTAGAGTGCAGTTGCATCATCATAGCTCACTGCAACCTCAAACTCCTGGGCTCAAGCAATCCTCCTGCTTCAGCCTCCTGAATAGCTGGGACTACAGGTGCACACCATGTTGCCCAGCTAATTTTTCTATTTTTAGTAGAGATAGGGTCTCAGTCTTGCTCTGGCTGGTCTCAAACTCCTGAGCTCAAGTAATTACCCCACCTCAGCCTCCCAGATTGCTAGGATTACAGGTGTGAGCTATTGCCACGCCCAGCCTAGGGAGTGGGGTCTTGCTCTTGCTCAGGCTTGTAGAGCACTTTGTTAATAGAATTTATGTAGTCCAGGGTGCTTCATTTCATGTAGAGTTAGGGAACTCAGGCCCAGAGAGGTTAAATAAGTTGCCCAAGGTCACACATTTGGTCAGTGATAGAGCTAGAACTAGGACTCAGGTTTCTGGATTCTTAACTTAGTTTTCTTTTTTCCAGACCTATTCGTTGGGAGATAGGGAGATAATGATGAACTGTTTCAGAGACACTTGTGAGATCCTTTGCCATTTAATTTCTTGACTAGGTTGAAGTTCCTAGGGGTCATCTCTTTCCTTAGACCGGGGCAGTTTATGGAGCCCTTTTCCTGTGTGTCAGGTTGTTTGTAGTCATTGGAGCTGAAGAATCCTCAGCCCTCTGCACCTTTATTGTATTCAAGGTATGGAGGAGAGAGAATAGTAGATGGCAGACTACATCACTTATACCTGGCTTTTGCCCTTATGTTTTTGCCATGAATTTGTGGCAGCATGCCCAGTTACCCCAAAATATAAATCATGGATTAGAGCGAATTCTGTAATGTTTCTCTTAGTGTGTGTGCCTGAATGAATGTGCATGGTTTATACATCTATATATATGGGTTCAAGAAACCCTGAATAGGTGAGGATAAGTGTCCTTAGGAACAATCTGTTTTAAATTCCTAGCTCTCTCTAGCAGTAGCCCAGAGAAAACAACCACAATAGTAAGTTAAAAGGGTATAGGAAGGCGTCGATAAAGTTCTTGTATTTTTAATAAAAATTATTGTATAATAATGCAGACCAGGAATAAAGAGAAAGACCCCTGTGTAACACAGAGGAGATAAACTGACATAATTACCTGGTTTGGTTCTGGCCTATTGAATAGGAGTCTGGGAACGCAGTTGTCAGTTTAGGTTCAGGATGTTCAAATCAGGGAGGTTGGCAGAACTTCTGTAAGCCTGAAGGGACACTTCAGTGCTACTTCTTTTCAACTTGCCAGTTTGAGTGAAACCTTCCAAGGCCTTTTCTTATCCCATACCTCAAGGAGAATATCCAAGACACTATGCTTCTAGTGGCTGTGGTCACTGTCTGTGACTCTTGAGGTCTCTGTGGTTTTCGTTTTATTAAGGCTTCTGCTTCCACGCGGTGAGCAGCTGAGTTCTTGTGAGACATCCTCTTGGAATGATAACCTGCCCCTTTGACAGCCCCACAGTGTTGGGAGTCCCAGAGATAAAAAGGAATAATCAAGTGAACCTAGCCTATCAGATGTAGATTGTCTGCCTAGGGGCAGGGCAAGGCAAGCCTAGTCTTGAGCTAACTTCCAAGGTTGCATGTAACCATGTCAGTATTTGTTTCCCATAGATGACAAATAGGGAATACCCTAACGAGATTAGAAATCTAAACTTTTGGGTTTGCGCCTATAATCCTAGCACTCTTAGAGGCTGAGGCGGGAGGATCACTTGAGGTCAGGATTTTGAGACTAGCCTCAGCAAGATCGAGACCCCATCTCTACCAAAAATAGAAAAAAATTAGCCGGGTGTGGTGGCACATGCCTGTAGTCCAGGCTACTCAGGGGGCTGAGGCAGGAGGATTGCTTGAGCCTAGGTGTTTGAGGTTGCAGTGAGTTGTGATGATGCCACTGTACTCTACCTAGGGCAGGAGAGTGAGACTATCTCAAAAAAAAAAAAAAAAGAAAAGAAATCTAAACTTACCCTTAATTCCTGAGGCCACACCCCTGAAAGGGTACAATTAGAGAAAGACGGATAAAGCAGGAGAACCTCCAGGCAGATAAAGGGGGGTTTAGATTTAGGAAGAATATTGCTTAGCATCTCTGCAGTTTTGTAAACCCTGACTTTATGATGGGAACCTTGGAGCTCCTAACCCTGGCTAGGGACTTTCCACTCCCCCTGGCTATCTTTGCACCAACTGAGGCAAGTTCTTTGCTGTTTATTTTGGGGCCATGGGATCTCCTGAAACCCCATTAAGATAAATTTTCAGAATTTGTGTTTCTCTTTAAGACAATATTATTAGCATTGATTTAAAATGAAAATACAATGAAGCACAATACAAACTCTAGGCCTGTTTTCTACATTGCCCCATAGCAACAAAGGAGAAAAGGTTGGCCAGGAATGGTGGCTCATTCCTATAAACCCAGCACTTTGGGAGGCTAAGGTGGGAGGATTACTTGAACCCAGAAGTTCGAGACCAGCCTGGGCAACATAGTGAGACTCTGTCTCTACAAAAAATTTTTTTAAAAAATTAGCCAGGTATGGGGGCATGTGCCTGTAAGTCCCAGCTACTAAGGAGGCTGTGGCAGGAGGCAGGAGGATCACTTGAACCCCATGAGTTTGAGGCTGCAGTGAGGTATGATCATACCACTGCACTCTAGCCTGGGCAACAGAGTGAGACCCT